ACTTTGTTTCTTCAGTAGAACACAAACGAAGATTTTTAAATCAACAAAAACCAACAAAACCAAATTAAACCCTGCGGCTCGTGACGATACATTGATGTGTAAAGACACAAAACGATCGGTCTGTGCAAGAAACTGAACAGAATTTATATCATTTTTGACCTCTGATGCACTGCAATGTCTGAACTGTCCTGAGCGCGTTCTCAACAGCCGGTGTGTGATGTGTCTTCTTCTTCTTCTTGCTTTACGGCGGATCGTAGACTTATAAGTGCATTACCGCCGCCTATCTCTCAAATGGACCATTGACACTCCTAACTGAGATTGTAGATAGAGTGTCAATGGTCTATTTGAGAGATAGGTGGCGGTAATGAACTTATAAATCTGTGATGCGCCGTAAAGCAAGAAGAAGAAGAAGACGCGTCACGCGCCGGCTGTCGAGGACGTGCTCAGGACAGTTCAGACAGTTCAGACATTGCAGTGCATCAGAGGTAAAAAAACAATATAAATACTGTTCAGTTTCTTGCACAGACTGATCGTTTCGTGTCTTTACACATCAATGTATTGTCACGAGCCACAGGGTTTAATTTGGTTTGGGTTGCGTATGTTTTTTTTTAATCTCAAAGCCGTGATTCCAATTCACTTTCATTATATGACTGACAGACCGCAACGGTTTGAGTTAAAAATCTTCGTTTGTGTTCTACTGAAGAAACAAAGTTTTTTGGGTGAACTATCCCTTTAACAAAAGCATTTACTGCATTGATCAACAACCTTGTAGCTCAAAGTAGGTCTGTTTTTAATGGTTTATACATTTTTTAAGTTTTTTATAAGTTATTAAAATAAATTCTTCAATGGAGAAAATTAATGGGATTTTTATTCTAAAACCCAACAGTTGCACTATATTACTTTTGACCCCCACCTTGCGGCATTGTGGCTGTGAGGTTTGGATAGGAAAGCACTGCACATTTTTCAGAAATGTAAATTAAGTTATTTTTGTAATTCTCTTTAGAGCCACTAGGGGTGCTGGCACGGCACACTTCACCTTTAAGACTCATAAGCCATAGTGATGCATTAGTTGTTCTTGTGCTCACAGCTCTAAAATCAGTCCAAGGTGTTTCAGAACTTTGATGTCTTTTTGAGTGTTTATCATGTATAAAGTTAACAATAGATCAAGTCAATCAAAGATCTGTAAAATCCTAAGAGCATGCTGTTTCAGAGGGTTTCATGTTCATTGTGACTGCTCTGTCTTCGAACTTCTCTTGTGTCAGTGTGTGAGGGTGTGTATGTGTATAGGTTTGTATGTATGTGTGTGTGTGTGATTGTCTGTTTATGTGTTTACATGCTGTTAGGTATCCCAAGTTCTTCCTGCTAACAGGTTTGGGAACTAAAATAAAGGGACTTTATTTAGATTGCTGTAAAGCACAATATTCAAATTAAGTGTGCAAGTCTGTGTGAACATATGAGAGACATTATGTGTGATTGTATCACTGCATGTGTCCCTGGTTGCTGATATCTGATCCTTTTAGATTGAAATTCTATTGAACAATATATAAATAGATGAACTTTGATCCAGAGGCCTTCTCCAGTAAAGCATATTGAGATTGAGATGTATGTCATATAGCAGAGTAAATCAATAAATTGAAATTATATCTGAACAGTTGTGTTACTGGTGCTATTTTATGTAATATTCTGACACTTATGACATTTCTTTCTAAAATCACATTTTATTTTTATTGATATTTAAATATATTTTTTTTTTTAAATAATAATAATAAATATATATATCAAACATGGGGGAAAAGTAAAATCTGGATCACTGAAATATCAACAATAGATACTGAAATAGTAAATTAAGATTAACACATAACATTGATATACTTTTATTACAATTTACAGCTTACACACTTTCACAACAAAAAATGACCATGGCCTAAGTCCTAAGTGGGAAATGTTTACTCAATTTGTACTTCTGGGCTCATTTGTTCTTCTGCTATTATCGTGTATGTAAAAGTACTGCACAGGGACTGTTGACAATGCATACATGTCCAAAAAACACAAAAAAGTCTTCATAAAAGCTGAAAGACGAAAGAGATCAAAAATGACAAGCAGCTGAGAGAATTGCTGAATAAAATCTTAAAACTACAATTTGTCATAGTCACTATATCATCATACACAATACATTATTCACATTTCAGTTCAGAACTTTGCTGAACTCACCAGACTTTTTTTTTATTCATTTTTTTTTGCATTCTAAGTGACAAACTTCAGTAACCCTGCAGAATACATTTTCATTTAAACAGCTGAAGATGTTATCGGTAGTTGTAGCTCTCATCGTCATATTCTAACTCATCCTCCTGCTCGTCTCCCAGCTGCCCGTATCTGAATTTGCGATACACAGTCCCGTCCTGTCCCATGTACACAATATCTTCATCTTCATCCTCTTCATCGTCATCATCCCGTCTCCCCTTCTGATCACTGAGGTCCACCAGCTGTGACTCATGGAACCGTCCAGAACTAGAGCTTGCTTGACCACCGTAGGTGGAGGTGGATGATGTGCCTCTGTAGAAGCTGTCTCTGCCGCCACCATGGCCCAGTTTTTCATACCCGGCTGGGACAGCAGGCTCAGGTATGGGTCGTTTGGAAAGAGAACGCTTAATGAGGATGATTACAGCAATTATGGCGAAAACAAGCAGGATGGCGGTAGTGATGAAGAGCGGCAGGTTTCCTGTGTATTCCTCTTCCTCATGGTTACGGAAGGCAAAGTTAGTGCTAAGGACACACTCGCCTTCAATAGAGATAAAAGTTTTTTTTTAATGCCTCACACAAAGAACAAAGTCAGGACAACTATTGTTATATTAGTATAAAAAGAACAGTTCACCCACAAATAAAAATCCAAGCAAGGCTCATTGGGAAAAAAAACATGCAACTTTTTTGCGAAATATTATGATGCTTTTTGCAAGTTTTGCAACACAGTCAAAGTGAAATGTCCAGTGAGTGGCAGTAAAAGCACATTCAGTTTTATTATTTGGTTGCTGTATGTGTCACGGCAGTTCGGAAATGCAAATGTCAAGTGAGTGTTGCTAAAAAGTTAATGTTCTTGCAATTGAAAATAACATACTACCCACACTAAACACTTCCATAAACATAACTGATAGTTAAAAAACAAAGTGAGGGAAAAACATTTTTTCTGTAGCTATTTTAGCTTGCTTCTACAAGCCTTTGAGCTCTTTTATCATGACTCAAGGGACTGCAGTGCTGCACCGGGTGAGCTACTGAGCAAGTTTACTACGTCAGCAAAGCCATTCATATGGACCTTGTTATGTGGTGCATATTTCTAAATGTATTAGTTTACAAATTATGCACCATGGTAAACGTGTTCTGAGGTCAGAACATTGCAAAGATTCGTGCAAAGGCCTTATTTTGCTTGTTTTATGGGGGCTTGGCTAAAAAGGCCAATAAGAGACTATTAACTACTATTCTTTGTTTTTAGTAAACAAATGTGGCAATACAAATATCTACAAATTTATATAACTGATCCAAGATTAGGTAAACACCTGTGCCTTAACTAACTATTCACAAAGGTTTTGAAGCTTCACGAAGCAGTGTTACGAATCACTAGGTAGAGGCATGCTTTTCCACTGACTTTGAGCCTATGTTGTCAATAATGTCACTGATCAACCTGTTAGTGCAGGTAATATTTTGAAGAAGAACTGTCACTTTTAAGTCCAAATACCTCTGGTCTCGGTACAGTTACAGCACTCCCGCTGAACTTCCTGTTCTGTGTTGGTGCAGCAGGGCAGACAGTGCCCCTCTGTGGTCAGAATGAACTGTGCTGGGCAGATGGTGCAGTTATGAGGCCCAGGACCTTTGCATTCTAAACAGGACTCATCACATGACACACAGTTATAGCCCTGTTCCTGTAGAGAGATCGCAACAGATATCATGTGACCACATTCATAAAAAAGGCCAAAGTAGATTAAGAAGTAAACATGTTTGAATAGACTCCACTAGAATACACGTTTACCTCAGGCTCAGCGTACTCTCCTGTGATGCAGGGCGACTCACAAGCACCCTGTGTGAGTGTATAACCTGTTCGACATGAGTCACAATCCTCAATACTCTTGCCTGTAAATAGAAATGACATTACAGAATTTTAGGCTGAAATGACTGAATGGTTAATAGTTAAAAATAGTAATAATTTAAAGGCGTCATTGATGTATGTATATATATATATATATATATATATATATATATATATATATATATATATATATATATATATATATATATATACACGCAAAAACCATTCAAAATTGGACTTCCTGAAGAAAAAAAAATGTGAATGTGTTTTTACAAAACATTGATCTTTTTTTGCTTAAGTGTCCTGACATGTCAGTATTTCACTCACAAAATGGAATGAGTTTGTGAGTTTGGTGTGAGGGCAGGTCAACCTGTAATCAGCCCTTTGTGAAAAAGAGCATATTTTAACATACAGTACTTTTAAAAGTACTTATCATGGAAATAATATACTTTAAAAGAATATACTTAAGTGCAAACTGAATGCAATGTTTTCAGACACTTAACTGCATGTTATTTGCAATTAAATGAAAATGTTTTAGAGTTAAAATTGATATTAAATGCAATTGCTTGAACTTAAGAAGGACTTGAGATTAACTTAGGATGTTTAGGAATTTAATGGTGCAAAAAATTTCGGCCGCAATGGATGCAGCACCTGTATTAATTGTAAATTTGTTAAAATTACAATTTTTTTCATTTACAATAAAACTACCTAAGTTGCATGGAAAAAAAAAACATACCGTAGTATTATGCCATAACAACAGAATATATGACAATTCAATTTATAGCACCTTAAATTTAATAAAACATTTTTTTTAAATCACCCGATGCACATCCTTTATCATTTTGTAGATGTGGAGTTAAAAATCTTGTTGAATTTGACGTAGAAAAGGAAAATTGCCATCTTGCTCCAACCAAAGTGATTTAAACGCACTTGATGTCATAAATACAAACTTTCTTAATTACATCTATTGTCTTTGAAATATGTTTAAAATGTACTGCTGAATGGACTGACAGACATTTATGGTAAACTGAAACTTAATGTTATTTCTATTGAAAATGGTATGTCATGTATTTAAATATTGTAATTACACATTTGTATTGACAAAGTTTAACATTTAAATTATATTTACAAACCCAATTCCAAAAAAGTTGGGACACTGTGCAAATTGTGAGTAAAAAAGGAATGGAATAATTTACAAATCTCATAAACTTATATTTTATTCACAATAGAATATAGATAACATATCAAATGTTGAAAGTGAGACATTTTGAAATGTCATGCCAAATATTGGCTCATTTTGGATTTCATGAGAGCTACACATTCCAAAAAAGTTGGAACAGGTAGCAATAAGAGGCCGGAAAAATTAAATGTACATATAAGGAACAGCTGGAAGACCAATTTGCAACTTATTAGGTCAATTGGCAACATGATTGAGTATAAAAAGAGCCTCTCAGAGTGGCAGTGTCTCTCAGAAGTCAAGATGGGCAGAGGATCACCAATTCCCCCTCGAAATATTGAATAACACACTACAGCTAAAATTAAAATTAAGTACTTTACAAGTGCTTTAGTAAGTCAAGACATCAAAATAAGTGTACTTCTTTAGAACATGACAAAATATTAATGATGTTTTATTAACAAAGTTCAGATAATCAACTAATTCAGCACAGGTGGAGCATGTTCAGATAATCCCTCCCCTCGGACAGCACGCCAATTATGCTTTATATTTGCTCAATCCGATTATATGTAAGTGCGAACTCATTAAAAACATTTTGATTTATTAATCAAACTCTTGCTCTCTGAAGTCAAATTTGTACAAATGTATATTCAGTATAAGCTCACTTCTTTTGCACTGTTTAGTGGAACTAACTAGTTTGTCTGAAATATTTAGTCGCATGTGTAATTTGTTCCATACTGTACCTGTGCATGTTCTGCAGCTGGGGTGGCAGGCTTCACATGTTTTGTGGTGTGTATCATGGTAGTACACATCAGGACAGGAAGACACACAGCGACCCTGTTTCCTGATAAACAGCATCCCCTCTCTGCAGCTCACACAGCCCTCGGCACCAGCCTGAAGACACTCCCCACAGCTCTCATCACACCGCTCACACGTCCTAGAGACTGCTGAAGCGTAGTGACTGGAAAAGATTTAGTCAAAAATACAGACATTGCAGTTTGTTATCTATTATAAATTGAGAAGTCAGTTCAGTATGACCTAATACTGCCTGATTAATCGGCCTAGATGATATACTGCAACACTGGCCAAATGCCTTACTACAGGTAGTGAGTACTGTAGTTACCCAGAGCGGCATGTGTCCACACATTCCTTGGCGTCTCTGTAGAGGTGAGCTCTGCAGCTCAGGCACTCGTGGCTGTGCCGCCCCATGCAGGTGAGGCAGTTAGGATGACAGGGTTCACAGCGCTGTGTTTCCCCCTTGAAGAATTCATCTGGACACTGATTCACACAGATGCCATCTGTGGATGAAGTGGAACCTTTGTTTACACTAAAACCTATGAAATATTATCTCAGGAATTATCATCATTTTTGAATGTGGAATTACTGTACACGTATGGCTGCTTCTGCATTTAATTAACGTTAATGTTAGTTGTTATGGCAGTATCATACAATTACCATAATATTGATGACATTATATAGACATCATAAAACAGTGACATCCTAAGTTGAATATTTGGGGAAATATTCAACTGTAATATGTATATTTATAAATGACAGAGTATGGTAGCACTTTATTTTACAGTCCTGTTCCGCATGTACATATTATGTACTTATTATAATAATTACAATAACTGGGTAATGACTAGGTACTAACCCTAAACCTAAACTTAACCCATTTAGTTTCCTTATATTACCCAGTACTTTCAAGTACACTGTAAGTACATGAAAGTACACATACTGTAAAATAAAGTGATCAATGCCTTGTGTCTTTCTGTTATTGTAGTCAAAAATGCCACATTAAATTTAAATGAATTCTTGTCAATGTACTCCAAAAGTGTGCCTTCAGATGTATATTTTTTCGGGTGGGCTGCTGCTGTTTTATATTACTGTTTTTAAATTATCATGAACTTTTATTATTTAATATCAAAAGATGCAATATCATGCTTTTTTCCATGCTTTTGTTATGATAAATGATAAGCAATTACCCTATTTTCAAAACTTTGGAGTAAGCAAGATTTGTTGAGTCTCATATGCTCATTGCATTTATTTGATCAAAAATACACTAAAAATAGTAATATTGTGAAATATTATTACACTTCAAAAAAGCTGTTCTTATTTAAAATGTAATTTATTGTGCCACACGATCTTTCAGGAATCCTTCTAATATGCATATAGTGCTCAATAAACAATACTTATTATTATAAATGTTGAAAACGGATGTGCTGCTTAATATTTTTGTGGAAACGGTGATACTTTTTTCTTCTTTTTTTCTTCTTCTTAAGGCATTATAATTTAGTGAAACTATTGCCCTTCTGTTACAACTTTCTCAATTTCTCTGATTTTCTTTACACTGAAGAGAGTATCTAAACAAGAGAGCATCAGGCCTCAATGGCATGAACTCACTGAGTAGATAGTGGTTCTGGTTGCAGCTGAGGCACTGGTCCTGATGTGAGCCAGAGCACTCGTGACAATACTTGTGACACAAGTGACATTCTCCATCTTGGTTGCTGTAGTGGTGTGAGGGACATGTGGTGGGTGTGGCACAGCGCCTGTGAGCATCTATCGCCAGGGCCTCAGAGCAGCTGGTGCAGGATGTGTCGTGAGGACCAGAACAGGTTAGACAGGAGCCGTCACAGGCTGCAGAACAAAAAGAGACTCTAGTGATGACACAATTATGGTTATTAAAACTGACGTATTGCATATAGAAAAGTAATTTTATTTTTACACGAATTATACTTTAATATCATTATAATGAAATATTATTTATCATTGATTTGGATCAATTTATTATTGATTTCTGTGCCTGCTATTCCTGGTTTCTGCTACTTGTGTTTGGATTATTGTCTAGCTTAATAAACTGCATTTGGATCTTACTCTCCTCCCTCGTCTCTGAGTTCGATTACGTTACAGCCACATATCTTTATTCCCCTTTCCACAGCCTTTTGGTTGCACACTAGGGGACTGAAGTACTACGTACAATGTGTATGAGTATTATGCCTTTATACTTTCAATTAACTCCTCAGCTGAACTGCTTAGGGGTGAGCGATATGAAATTTTTAACCCTGTTATTAATATGCATCACTTAACCATGTCAGTGATTGTGTCAGTAATCACCAAAATGTAATTAGTCCTGTCCCTACATCAAATAAATTGAACAAAACCTCACAGGTTTCATAAATCTAATTAATATTGAATTAATGACTAAAATGTATTAATACATTAATAATTAATAGCAAATTATACAACCAACATTAGGATATCCAACCTTACTGTGACACATACAGTACACTTACCTGTGTATCATCGCAAAATGTAAAATGTATTATCTCAGCGTTCTGTAAAGTATGTATATTCTTTCCAACTTTTCGTAAAAGTGATATATACTGTATAACAAATCTCAACTGCCTGATGTAACCTTATTTACCTTTATGTAAACTAAAACTTAATTTTATGTTTGTGTTCATCAATTTAAATATATTTGTTGGAAGTGCTATTAATTTCTAGCAATTACCCTATTTTCAAAACTTTGGAGTAAGCAAGATTTGTTGAGTCTCATATGCTCATTGCATTTATTTGATCAAAAATACACTAAAAATAGTAATATTGTGAAATATTATTACACTTCAAAAAAGCTGTTCTTATTTAAAATGTAATTTATTGTGCCACACGATCTTTCAGGAATCCTTCTAATATGCATATAGTGCTCAATAAACAATACTTATTATTATAAATGTTGAAAACGGATGTGCTGCTTAATATTTTTGTGGAAACGGTGATACTTTTTTCTTCTTTTTTTCTTCTTCTTAAGGCATTATAATTTAGTGAAACTATTGCCCTTCTGTTACAACTTTCTCAATTTCTCTGATTTTCTTTACACTGAAGAGAGTATCTAAACAAGAGAGCATCAGGCCTCAATGGCATGAACTCACTGAGTAGATAGTGGTTCTGGTTGCAGCTGAGGCACTGGTCCTGATGTGAGCCAGAGCACTCGTGACAATACTTGTGACACAAGTGACATTCTCCATCTTGGTTGCTGTAGTGGTGTGAGGGACATGTGGTGGGTGTGGCACAGCGCCTGTGAGCATCTATCGCCAGGGCCTCAGAGCAGCTGGTGCAGGATGTGTCGTGAGGACCAGAACAGGTTAGACAGGAGCCGTCACAGGCTGCAGAACAAAAAGAGACTCTAGTGATGACACAATTATGGTTATTAAAACTGACGTATTGCATATAGAAAAGTAATTTTATTTTTACACGAATTATACTTTAATATCATTATAATGAAATATTATTTATCATTGATTTGGATCAATTTATTATTGATTTCTGTGCCTGCTATTCCTGGTTTCTGCTACTTGTGTTTGGATTATTGTCTAGCTTAATAAACTGCATTTGGATCTTACTCTCCTCCCTCGTCTCTGAGTTCGATTACGTTACAGCCACATATCTTTATTCCCCTTTCCACAGCCTTTTGGTTGCACACTAGGGGACTGAAGTACTACGTACAATGTGTATGAGTATTATGCCTTTATACTTTCAATTAACTCCTCAGCTGAACTGCTTAGGGGTGAGCGATATGAAATTTTTAACCCTGTTATTAATATGCATCACTTAACCATGTCAGTGATTGTGTCAGTAATCACCAAAATGTAATTAGTCCTGTCCCTACATCAAATAAATTGAACAAAACCTCACAGGTTTCATAAATCTAATTAATATTGAATTAATGACTAAAATGTATTAATACATTAATAATTAATAGCAAATTATACAACCAACATTAGGATATCCAACCTTACTGTGACACATACAGTACACTTACCTGTGTATCATCGCAAAATGTAAAATGTATTATCTCAGCGTTCTGTAAAGTATGTATATTCTTTCCAACTTTTCGTAAAAGTGATATATACTGTATAACAAATCTCAACTGCCTGATGTAACCTTATTTACCTTTATGTAAACTAAAACTTAATTTTATGTTTGTGTTCATCAATTTAAATATATTTGTTGGAAGTGCTATTAATTTCTTTAGGTGCAATAAAGAATAATTCAATGGAAAAACATGACTACACCTTTAATCGTAACAGTACAGAACGTCATGTAGTCTCACCCATGCACTCTCCAGACCTGCTTTCCCTGTAAGTATGTGCGGGGCAGGGGGCTACACACGATCCGTTGTACAGTGTGTGGTCAGGGTCGGAACAGGCTTCACAGTTGTTTGGTTTGGGCCCATCACATAATTCACAGTCAGCGTGGCATCGCTCACAAATGCCTTGATCAGTGTCCTCAAAAAACCCATCAGAACACACCACTATACACTGACCCGCATGCCGGAAAAAGTCTTCCTTACACTCTGAAGTTAAAAAGAACAGAAAAACTGAATAACTAGGGTAATATATTTAGCAATGAATTTGAATATGGTAAGATTACCAAAGTTAGAGTTTCAAAATTAATTCACTATATGTAACAGGATGTATTTTATTTATTTATTCATGTGATGTCATTAATGTGTTTACTAAATTGAACATTCCAACTGTTTCACTCTGTTTGATGCTAACAATTAGTCGTAATAGCTGTACCAGAGGAGGTGTCTGTGTTCAATAAATCAGTATACATTTTATCAAGTCACACATGATCCATCATGCGTTACTGTTTGGAGGAAACAGTAACTAGAGGAAAGTTGAATTATCAGCATGTATGAAACCTGTATTAAAATGTATGAAACACTGTTGATGGTATTAATGCTACTGAGAAAGGCCACTACATTCTCAGAAAAAAATGGTACAATATTATTATTTAAAGTAGGTGATAAAATGTAACTTTAAGGTACTAATATGCACCATTTATGGGTAAATAAGGTACAAAATGTGTACTTTTTGAAAGGGTACTGCCCCAGTAACAGCTGTTTTACAGATTTTATTTATTTTTTTGAGTGTATAAGACTGTGGCAACATCAATAAAACATCTTTGTTTCTTATTATTTTCTTAACATAAAAGAATAGTTCATGAAAACATGCAAAACTGTGATGAATTTCAGTCTCACCTGTACAGATTCCATCCTCAGAGCAGATAACACAGCTCTCTGGACACTGCACACACTCCCCATTCCTCACTGTGTGTCCAGACGGACATTGTACCACACACTCATGTTTGTGGAGAAGTAGCGTCTCCTCACAGCTCAGACAGTGTGTTGCATTCTTCTCACAGGACATACAACCAGATGCACAGCTCTTACACACCTGACCCACAGGATACCCTCTGAATACACAAATACATAATTAAATATAATATACATGTGCAATATAACTACTACATAACACCAGAATTTGTCAACAATTGCGTTACATTATGTTATTGATTTTTTTAAATCCAAACCGGAACTGTGACATTTTTTGTTAGTGTCATTTTATTTTTAACCCTAAAAAGCCAAAAAGCCGAAAGCCAAATTTCTAAGTCCTTTATATTATCAAAACTTTTCGCGAAAAAGCTGTTGTACACTATGCACTACATGTCTTCATCTGATTGATAGATTGATATAGTTTATAGTTTTTAGCAAATAAAAGTCCTTAAAAACTGTTTTATTTTTTTAAATAAATAATTAAAAAAATGCCCCCTTGTGGTACAATTGCACTGTATTATATGTTTTGCCCTCTGCAATAAAAATGCAGAGCTTTGATCATAAAGCTAAGCATTTAAATATCATATTACTAAGTCATATTATTCAGAAATATATAGTAGCTGATATTTATAAGCATTTTCTGTAAGACGTTTCATTGATTTACATTAGAAGCTATAGGAATTTCCTTACTTTTGGCCATATAAACAACAACAACTGCACCAAATTGCATATTTTTGCTCAGTTTGGGCCTTTTTAAAATAAAAATTAGGTGTTTATTTTCTCCTTAGAAAGTTCCATATTCTCCTATCATACTATATGACTCATGAAAGTCTGATGTATCAAATATGAGACTCAACAAAAAAAGCAAATAAGCAATATTGTGTAAATTTGCATAATAAAAATGTAATTAAACTGTAATTAATGTAAATTATTTAATTTAACATTTAGACTAGATGTTCATGCGAAACTAAATTGGTGCAAGAAACCTTAAAAAGTGGACCTAAGGGAAAACAGCATATCATTAGCTTTTCATTCCTATATATAAATATCAGTAAATGGCTCTAACCTTGTGCACTTAAGCACACACTGGCCAACCTGCAAATAAAGAGTGTTTTTACGTGCTGACTGGCAGCGTGTGCAGAGCTGCTCATCCTGGCACTGGGCACAACCTTGAGGGCAAGTCTCACAGTGCCCGCTTTCCTTACTGCCAAAGCTGCCCGTCGGGCATCGTACCACACACATCTGATCTACATTCAGATATCGACCTAGAAGACAGAGTGGATAAAACACACATACATAATGTCTAAATATCCATTCATCCAACCCTTTATAAAAACAACCAAACATTTTTTTCATACATCATATTCTTCTTTGAGTTGTACTATTATACCTTTGACACAGGCATTGCATTGAGTCTTCATTCTCCCCCAGCAGGATTCACATGAAGAGTGGCAGGCCTCACATTCCCCATCATCTGAGAGATGACAGGAACAGTTATTACCAACAATTATTTTTATAGCAGAACCCATTCCCTTGTGAAAACGAAACATCCTCAGTTGTACTGATTGTGCACTTGCAGTCTCCTTCAAATATTAAAAGTATATTTTTAAAAAATTTAAATATTATTCACTTAAGGCCACTTAAGTGTACTTAAGGAGATAACACTTTCATGGCTATGACTCTTTGTCGCCATCTCTGTTTGAAACCTGCAAATGCAGTTATTTGCAGAATTATATTCTTTATGTGGGTTGTGCATTGGCACGGCTCCTCAACGTGGATGAATCAAATGTTTGAGGTGTATGTGTGGGCTGTCAGTCAACGCACCAGTGTGGATATTCAGTGTACTTCGGAATTACAGATAGTACATCTTAGAAGTATGTCCAAAATAAGAAGTTTCGCCCAGAAAATGTCATCTGAACAAGTAAGTAACATGTCTGGCAGTTTTGTTCTGACCAACTGAAAAAAACGTTCCCTTTCAAGCATTCACTCAAATTGTGAAGCATTCGCTGTGGGAACTCCTCCCCATCTCCAAAATACTGAAACCTTATAGGATAATGGCAGTTCTATAAACAGTTATGTGCGCACGCCCCCCGTCGAGGAGACCGTCGACATGCATCTGTGGCCTTCCTCATCTATGCTTGGCGGAGACCTCAGCCTGCCTTCTAAGCCGTGCAGATTTACTGCCCACCTTGCTGACAAGGCATATGCTTATGCAGGTGAAGCGGCATCCGCGCTGCACGCAATGGTGGTGCTGCAGGTCTTTCAGGCTAAGCTTCTGCAGTCCCTGAACAGCGGCAACTTGGATACAGACACTGTGACAGACCTGCGAGCGGCGACGGACTTCGCGCTGATGATGACAAAGTGCTCCACTCAAGCCATCAGGTATTCCATGGGGTTCATGGTAGTCCTTCACAGGCACCCTAGCTGACCTGTAAGACACGGACCGTAAGACGATGAGTCACCTGATGCCCCTCGTCGTGACAGCAGACCACCACCCGCTGCCAAGCCTTCATCCTGACAGACCGGCAAAGAGGAGGAAAGAGCTCGCTGGAGGCCCGGCCCCCAAATGCCGCATCCTGCATTATGTTCCCCTTGTTCATGCGGGTGACAAATGCAATGTTCTTGTTTCATTTACTGCAATAAAAACACAAACGTCCTCACAAACCTAGCTGTTTCCTACTTGCCCTGCCTCAGAGCAGCGCAGAGACGCTGTCTGTGCCAGTGTTGTCTTCCACAAGCCATTTCCCCGCCTGCACATTTAGCAATGCTGGGGCAAGGTGCCAGTCTATGAACTTCACTGAAAAAAACAGCGATAGTGACTGGAGAGATGCTATGTCAGTTCCTAGATGAGTGGAGAGATATTCCAGCTATTTTGCACTGGGTGCTAGACATAATAGAGCATGGATATTCTCTCCAGTTCAGACACAGACCACCCCCGTTTCAATGGCTGGTTCCGTCACAGACACGCCCTCAAAATGCCCCTGTTTTTAGACAGGAAGTTCACAGCCTTCTTGCAAAAGAAGTGATGGAGCGAGTCCCTCTGAGCAAACTGGAGAGCGGGTTTTACAGCCACTATTTTGTGGTACCCAAGAGAGATGGGGGACTCCATCCCATCCTGAACCTGAGACCCATCAACAGAGCACTTCAAAAGGGCGCGTTCAGAATGACGACTCTGAAACAGATCCAGGCACAAATCCATGCTGGGGACTGGTTTGCATCTGTAGATCTCAAAGATGCATACATTCATATTCCGATTGCTTTCCGGGGCACAGAATACCAGTACTCAGTGCTCCCATTCAGGCTGGCTTTAGCCCCGTGCATGTTCTCAAAGTAAATGCGGTGCTTTCCCCTCTCAGATCTTCATCAGTTTGCCACCTGGGTCTTTTGCACATGCGGCCAATACAGCTGTGACTGAAAACTCAAGTCCCGTGGAGAGCATAGACCCAGGGGAGTATGCGCATCGAGGTCACACACAGCTCACGGTTGACGGGCAATCAATTTGAAAGCACACGCTGGTGGTCAGATTTCTGAGGGGAGCAAGGAGATTATATCCCCCACACCCAACGTTGGTGCGCTGGTTCTGAAAGCTCTCTCTACCCTCGTTCGGGTCCTTTGAAGCAATCGCTATGAGGGAGCTCTCCCTCAGAACTGCTCTGCTTCTCTGCCTTGCCTCGGTTAAGTGCATAGGAGATTTGCATGTGCTCTCGATGGATGACGATTATATTTGCTTTGGGCCTGGGGACTGCAGTGTTGCTCTCCGGCCGAGACTGGGCTACATACCTCAATCTCTTTCCACCCCCTTTAAAGCGCAGGACATTTCTTTGCCCACTTTGTCTTCTGAGCCGTCGACCTCAAGTGACGCAGAGGCTCAGAGCATTGTTTGCCCTGTTAAGGATTTATCGTTGACTTGATTGCAAATGTTTGTAAAGATACTATTTAAACTGAACTGAGCTGGATGATGACATCACTGAATTCAATGATGAACTGCCTTGAACTGAAAAATTTGTGTTTACTATTGTCATTTTGCATTATTGACACACTATTTTCCTAATTAATGCTGTTCAGTTGCTTTGACACAATCTGTATTGTTAAAAGTGCTATATAAATAAAGGTGACTTGACTTGACTTGGCTTTAAGGATTTATATCTACCGCTCAGCTATCTTTCGACAGTCTGATTAGCTCTTCATGTGCTTCGGTGGCTGTACTAAGGGACAAGCAGTATCTAACCAGAGGCTTTCTCACTGGATAATAGACGCTATTGTGTCGGCTTAAGCGAGCCATGGACAGGAATGTCCTCTCAATATCAGAGCCCATATGACGAGGGCTATTGCCTCTTCATGGTCCTAGTCTAAAGGCACGTCTATTCGGGATATATGCTATGCAGCTGGCTGGTCCTTTCAGAATAATTTTGCCAGGTTTACAAATTGGATGTGTAGTCCTTGGCATCTCAAGTGCTTTCGGTGAATCACTAACCTCACTTATCCCTCATGTTTATTGCAATGCATGCAATTTGGGGCACAGTTTGTTACTGCTTATAGCTGTTGCTACTGTTGTTCTACACCGTGCTTGGTGTGCTTTTACGCATTCACGGCGGGATTGTATACTGTTCCCACAGCGAATGCTTCACAATGTGAGTGAACGCTTGAAAGGGAACGTTTCCGGTTACTGTTGTAACCTTGGTTCCCTGAGAGTGGGAACGAGACATCCAAAAACGTGATAGCTGGGACTCCTTCTTTATGTATACACTGATTGCTTATGTACTTATGTACTTGCTCAATCATTGATTTTGGATCATTTTTAACCAAAAAACAAAACAAAAAAAAACGTAATGCAGCTTTAAAGGGGTCATCGGATGTTGATATGATTCCTTAGGGTCTTAATGAAAAGTCTATAACATACTTTGGTTAAAATTTCTCAGTGGTAGTGTAAAAAACACCCTTTTTACCCTGTCAAAAGCAGCTCTGTTTTCAGCACGCTGTTCTAGTCCATGTTGCTTTAAATGCTAATGAGCTCTGCTCACCCCGCCTCTCTCTTCCGTGCGGTGACGAGCAGACTGTAAACTTCAGCTGCGAAACTGGTGAACTAGCACATTATTAGGAAAGGAGATTTGCAAAGATTCATAAAAAACGCTTATACTCACTTCTGTAGATGAAGCTGGATCACGAATGATTCGCACGAACTTAAACGCATTTAGGCAGATCGGGTATCGGCGCATCCCCTTCAAAAACGAAAGTAACTTTAATACCCTGCGTCTTCAGTGGCTCAGATGTCGGGAGTAAATGACGACTGCTATGTTCATAATTACATCCAACAACAAAACATCTCAATCGCTTAGGAGTCATTCTTGTCTTCCCCTGCACCGGAGTCGACACAATGGCAGACAGCTCACAGCTCACTCAGGGCGGGTCTTAGGTAAGACGGCCTTGTCAATCAACTATCGTGGGAGCGGCCTGTGCAGAACTACGTCATTCTGACAGGAATCTCAGAACAGCCTGAATTGAGAAAGGGGATTTTAAAATAGGGATTTTTTAAAAACCACTGGGTGGATTTTTATCATTATAGGGTGGATGTGTACACACACTTCCAACACACATTTATGTTCAAACAACAATAAAAGTGAATTTTGCATCTGATGACCCCTTTAAGTACACTTTGGGTATACATTGTAATAATTTCAAATTAAAAATATTTCTTTAAAGTACATTTTAGATCATTATGTTTCAATAATCGTTTGTCATGCCTTTAAAGATGCACACTTGTTTTGATGTGTTGACTAAGATACTAAAGTGCATGCAAAGTACTTAGGCTACATTATTTGATATTGCATTTAAATTTAATATATTTTAAATGTACTAAATTGCAACATCATTAAAGAACCTAAAATAAATTATTTTCTGTTGAGAAAAACAAATGAACCAATAGACTGTAATGATCTAAATAATCAATAAGTAAAATCAAGAACTTTTTTAACACAGAAAAAAAACTTAAAAATTGACCCTTAAAAGTACCTTATCTGCAACTAAAATGTGCATATTAGAGTGGTAATATGCACCCTTAAGGTAATATTATAAATGTTTTAGTGGTAGAATAATCCCCTTGTGCCAAGTTTTTGTACCCCTAAAGGCACAATTTTTGCACATTTTCTTCAGAGAGTGAACCTACAAACAGACAGCTCAAGATTTATTGTAGTCATTTTGTATTCAGTCATTTTACTTGTTGTACAAAATCTTCAATAACTCTATACAGCACAAGTTTTTTATTAGAAGAGCATCCTTTGCTGAACTTTGCTAAGAGCAATTTTTAAATCTTTATTGTTAAGTCTCTATGTCTAATAAGTTAATTATAACATTTCCTAACATTAAACGCTTCCTGCTTAATCATTAGTTAATAATAGGCTTTTCCAAGGCTTATGGTGGAATTGAATTGTGAAGCACTGTGGTTAAAACCCCTGAAATTAAAGGTCCCTTTTGTTTTCAGCAGGATACTAAAATTAATGAAGTCATACAAATGACTGCAAATGCTCTCCAGATTTTCTGCTGAATAAAAGCTCTTCAACCCTCCTCCTGGAGAGCCAATATCCTGAGGTGTGTTAAAGCAGGTTGGAAATAAACTTGCCAGGGACAGTGGGTCTCTTGGAGCAAGGTTGAATACCTCTGCAATAGAGTTTCAATGTCTGAGACTGTGTGTGACTTGGATTGATAGATGGATGGATTTTAATACGAAGTCATATGAAATCAAATTCTTCCAAGAGCAATTTATCTGGACTATGCCACGAGACAAAGTTAACATCTCCAGAGCTATGAACGAGCAATCTCTAAATAATATATTTTTCCTCTCAATAGTGTTGCTCTTACCACTGAGGAATGTCTGGGCAGGGCAGACATCCTGTTCAGGCACACATGCTCCATTATCAAGTGTAAATCCATCACCGCAGCTGTCACAGTCACTGTCCTCTGGCCCACTGCATGTCCTGCATTCTGAGTGACATTCCTCACACTCCTGAGAATCTTCATCACCATAGAAACCATCAGGGCATTCTCGCACACACTTCCCATCTGCAGGGTACAGTATATTAAACACAAGAACAATCTATCTTGTCCAATTGTGTCAAACGATCATGCAAAATTAGTTTTAAAAATTAGTTTTTCAAAAGTTTCAAGTTTCTTTAAAACACATAGAGTAAGTCCCTTGTCAATTAAAGTTTTATGTTCTGTGTTTTGTACATATGGTTGTCTCTGCATATAAAGTTACAAGAATTTAGTGTGCTGATGTGTAGCTTAACATACTAAAGCATGAGAACTTAATTATGATTTTAACTGTAGTGTGTTACTTGACATTACATTGTAGTCGATTGAAATTAAAATTAAGTATATTTTAGTTTACCATAAATGCTTGTCAGTACATTTAACCATTTTTCATAGTCAATAGAAGTAATTATGGATTAATAAATATATATTAAAGATATATTATACATATAGATGAAAGAAATAATAAATATAATAAATATAGATTAAAGAAATAAATATAGATTACATTTAAATTACTTAAATAATTTACTGCTTTAGTGGGTCAAAAAAGGCACTCTAAAGTTCAGCTAATTGCTTTTAAAATACATTTAAACTACACATTTATAAATTTTCATTTAGTTGTAAACAACATACAGTTAAGTGTCCAATAAAGTATGGTCTTATGTGTAGTCCTTTAAAGTTTACTATTTCTTTAATAAGTACTCTTTTTCTAAAAAGTATGCTTCTTTTTCACAAGGGTATTTAAATGTGGGGTAAGAGATTTCTGGTAGCCAATGTTGACATTTGAAATCACCAAAACAAACACTGGAACCTACCCCAAAAGGGTCTCGCCCCACACATACATACGCAACCCAGGCAACGATTAGTTCTGTGAAACAAAGCAAAACCAATATTGTCTACACCGGACGCGAGTGGCGCGGCGTGACAAAATACTATGGAACTCATTATAATGCTGTCTACACTGGATGCGGCGCGGAACGACGCGACATATCCCCGACAGAAAACTGCTGCTGCATTCTATTTATGACGCATTGACACAAATTTCAAATGATTTTCAATGGACGCTTTGTCGCATCCAGTGTACTAGACAGACTTTAGCTGTTGCGGTGCAGACATGGTGTTACTCCCCTATCGAGAAGAAACAAAGCAACCTCGGCGTCCGATCGCAGGCCTTCCTCTCCTTGAGTTCTCTCCAGCGCTGGAAAGCTGATCCGATATTTACACAAGTCCTACTTCTTGCCTTAAGCCTTCTTTTGTTTTTTTATCCGCCATCTCTATCTTTCTGTCACTCGGCTCGCTAATGTCCGTCCTGTGCACTGAACTCTCTCTCCTCCACATCCTGAGTAGACACGCCCCTTACTGCTGATTGGCTACAAGTTTGTTTTGCTAGTCGGCCCGAATCAGTTTTCTAAAGTGTTTTTGAAAAATCGTTTACCCCACCTTTAAGCTCATATGTATCTCTGGCACTTCTTTTGTAAAAAAAATCAATAAACTAAACAAAAATATTATGTCAGTTTAATGTGGTACATCTTTATTCTCATATGTATCTCTGGCACTTCTTTTGTAATAAAAATCAATAAACTAAACAAAAATATTATGTCAGTTTAATGTGGTACATCTTTATTTGTTTGTCTCTTTTCAGCATTTTAATTTGACAATATAACTAAATTTAAATTTTTGGTAATACTTTATTTTGATGGTCCCTTTTGAACATTCTGTTGACAAAAAGTAATGTTGCACCTATATGTCTACTAACTCTCATCAGAGTATTAGTAGACTGTTTACTTCATATCTGCTAACTCTTTATTGTCATGGTCTCATAACAGACATTCTACTAATCTATAAGTAACTTTGCAAGTCCGTGTCACCTTATTCTAACCCTAACCCTACCAGTCTACTAATACTCTACTAATACTTTAATGAGAGTTAGTAGACATGTAGGTGCAACGTTACTTATAGTCAACAGAATGTGTTAAAGGGACCATCAAAATAAAGTGAAACCTAATTTTTATTATTGGGGCACCACTGTAAGTTTGCCAAGGCCCCCCTAGCGGGCTCTGGCCCCCTGGTTGAAAACCACTTTAGTAGAGAATGCCGCTAGCAATTCCAAGGCCATGGATTTCCCAGGGAATGCACAAACTGATAAAATGTATACCATAAATGCAATGTTAAGTAATCTGTATAAAAGTGTCTGCCAAATGCATAAATATCAATGTAAATGTGTAACCTGCCAGGAAGAGGTCAGCTTCACACCAGTAGCACTCATCTTCATCACAGCTGACACAGTCATGCTCACAGGATACACAGCTCATGGTCTCCTCCACTGTGTATGTCTTAGCAGGACAGGGCTTATAGCAGCCCTCTTCAAACCTGTGCAACAAAGAGCATGTCAGTCACATCTCAGAGCGGCACACATCTGAAAATTAACTTTCTGAAAGTTTGATTCTGTCTTTTACACATTCATTTCAGCAGACAGTTCTGTTACATCATTTAAATGTTTCTTACTTGTAATATCCACCAATGCAGGACAGACAGTGTTTGGGATTATCTGCAAAGTGAAGGAACTTTAAATTATGCAGAAACGTCTGTGTGGTCAACTCAGTACAGTTTACAGTTTACTTGTTTAGATTTACTAAAGAAATGTATTTGAAAGTCTGAAGAGCACATGGCAAACAAACCCAAACATCAGCCATGTGCTCCACTTCAAAACTAGCCCCAAGTATGAGCAATAGTAATACTATTATTTGCTTTAACTGATAAAACACAGAACAGATGGAATGCTGAACTTACAGAGAACACACGTATTACAGCCCTCTTCACATGACATGCAGTCATCATATTCTGGGTCTTCCACCTCCCCTAAAACACACACATAAATTAGTTAAATGCATTGACTGAAGTTTGTCCTGAAAGTGCAAAATAATAAAATTTTGTTGCTTTGCAGCCTGAAATGAAGACGGACACAGTTTTTGTTTTATCCAGCTGTATTTACAGGTGCATCTTAATAAATTAGAATGTCATGGAAAAGTTCATTTATTTCAGTAATTCAACTCAAATTGTGAAACTCGTGTATTAAATAAATTCAGTGCACACGGACTGAAGTAGTTTAAGTCTTTGGTTATTTTAATTGTGATGATTTTGTCTCACATTTAACAAAAACCCACCAATCCACTATCTCAACAAATTAGAATATGGTGACATGCCAATCAGCTAATCAACTCAAAACGCCTGCAAAGGTTTCCTGAGCCTTCAAAATGGTCTCTCAGTTTGGTTCACTAGGCTACACAATCATGGGGAAGACTGCTGATCTGACAGTTGTCCAGAAGACAATCATTGACACCCTTCACAAGGAGGGTAAGCCACAAACATTCATTGCCAAAGAAGCTGGCTGTTCACAGAGTGCTGTATCCAAGCATGTTAACAGAAAGTTGAGTGGAAGGAAAAAGTGTGGAAGAAAAAGATGCTAAACCAACCAAGAGAACCGCACCTTATGAGGATTGTCTGTTGAGGAAAATGTTTTTTTATTGGTCTTATGAAGTATTCTAATTTGTTGAGATAGTGAATTGGTGGGTTTTTGTTAAATGTGAGTCAAAATCATCACAATTAAAAGAACCAAAGACTTAAACTACTTCAGTCTGTGTGCATTGAATTTATTTAATACACAAGTTTCACAATTTGAGTTGAATTACTGAAATAAATGAACTTTTCCACAACATTCTAATTTATTGAGATGCACCTGTACTCAGCGCAACTTACAACATAAAAGTGAAAGACATAACATGTCAGGAGTTGGAAAAAGGATCACCGCCTCCTAAAAATGACTTATAAACCCAATCAGGTGTAGCTAATCACCTTCTCAATGGCACAAAAAGCCATTTGAATTTCAACTGTGATCAGCTGTGGTCATTTTGATCAGCTCAGCATGAAAAGAGCTTCCTAGATAATTTCAGTCCTTGGTAGTGCAACTGAAGCAAACAATCAACTATGGGTGGCAAGGCACTGTCAAAAGATCTCCAGGATAAAGTTGTGGACAGGCACAAGTCAGGAGATGGATACAAAAAAATACAAAATTATTCAAAGGCTTTATCAATGCCAAGAGGCACAGTGAAGTCTGTTATTAAGAAGTGGAAGGTATTTGGTACAACACAGGACGTCGCTCCAAACTGGATGAAAGAGCTAGGAAGAAACTGGTCAGAGAGGTTACCAAGAGGCCTACAGCAACTCTGAAGCAGCTGCAGGAATTTATGACAAAGAGTGGTCATTGTGTGCATGTGACAACAATATCACACATTCTCCACAAATGTGGCTTGTATGGGAGGGTTGCAAGAAAAAAAGATAATCCTCAAGAAAGGCCACATGCAGACACAACCGAGCTTTGCCAAAACACACCTTGAAGATTCTGAGGCAGATGAGATTAAAAGCAGCAATCCTACAGTAAAATATGGAGGTGTTTCTCTGCAGCAGGGACTGGAGCACTTGTCAGGACAGAAGAAAAAATTAATAGGGCAAAATACCATCAAATTCATGAGGAAAATCTGCTGCCCTCTGCCAGAAAGTCATCCAACATAACAATGACCCAAAGCACACAGCAAAACTGAGCACACAGTGATTGAAGATGAATGTCCTTGCATGGCCTAGTCAGAGTCCAGACTTAAACCCCACTGAAAATCTGTGGAATGACTTGAAGACTGCAGTCCACAAACAGTCACCATCAAATTGAACTGAACTCGAGCAGTTCTGCAAAGAAGAGTGGGCAAATATTGCAAAGTCTAGATGTGGAAAGTTAGTAGACACATATCCCAACAGACTAGAGGCTGTAATTAAAGCAAAAGGTGGTTCAACAAAATACTCACACAAGGGGGTGATCCTTTTTCCAACTGAGTTATTCTGTTTTTTTTTCTAACAGGTTGGTGATATATCTTTCACTTAAAGGTCCCACTTTATATTAAGTGGCCCTAATACCTGTGTACTTACATAGTAACTAGATGTGTTCATAGTATGTAACCACAGTGTAAGTACACATTGCTACATAGTATCTACAGCTGTGATGTTTGTGTAACTACACATACTGTATGTAACAATCCACTGAGTGGTAATGAAAGTACAAATGTGTAACAGGACTAACAGCGCTTTTTGGTAAAGATAGTGTTACACTTTATATTAAGTAAACAATTCCTATGGCTTTACCATGTAATTACTCTGATGTTACACAGCACCGGCCAGTAAGTTAGGCTTTACATATAAATTGTGGTTGGTGTCCAGAATGTTACACTTTATATTAAGTGGACCGTTCCTGAGGAGTTACCATGTAAGTACACTGCTATTACAGTGGTGCACCAACTCCACCAACTTGAGATCCAACTCCTCCCACTTTACATATCCCTAAACCTACCCTATTTCCACCCCCTGGATCCCATTTCCACCCCTAAACCTACCCATCTCCACCCCTTGGATTCCATTTCCACCCCTAAACCTACTCATCTCCACCTGCTGGATAAAATAGTTCAAATTACTCTTATACATATTGCTACAAAATGTAGTTATATATGTATATGTACACATCTAGTAACTATGTAAGTACACAGGTATTAGGGCCACTTAATATAAAGTGGGACCCACTTAAATGGTATAAGTTTCAAATACAGCTGCATTTCAGACTGCAAAGCAACAACATGTGATTGGGGGTGATTCTTTTCTATACCCACTGTATATATATTCATATATCCTATTACAAAAAAGAGCAACTTGGACATTGTGCTAAATATCTCTTTTGTGTTCTAATAAAACAAAAAAGCAACAAAACAAGTGACACTTGAACTGTACAGGAAGATAAAGTCAGACCTTCGCCACACTCCAGTTTATTACAGATTCCGTCGTTGAGGTAGAAGGAGTCCTCACACCTGATGCAATGTGTGGCTGAAGAACAGAGTTTGCAGTGAGAAGGGCACGACTCACATGCCTTCAGTGCTGTGTGGAAATGAGCCTGAGGACACACTTCCACACAATCGCCATGGAACAGGTACCGGTCCACCCCAAACTTATCTACAACACACAAACAAAATACATATTACACACAAAATTACCATACCATGCACACAGTTACACAAACTAGATGGTGGGACCATTGTGATGCTGCTACTTGTATTTTTTTATTTTGGTGGCTTGAAGCCAGGAATGAAATGGTGGAAATGAAAAAAATATATTTTATATTCAAAGCTAAATGTAAATTAAAATACAAGCTATAAGGTAAAATTTGCTGTAAGATGCGAGACAGTCACACTTTTTTTTAATTATCCATTTGCATCTTTTGGATTTTACTTGCTTACCACTAAACAGCATATAATTATACTATCAGACTACTGTATTAAGAAGGCCATTTTTACTGACATTTAGTGCTTGCCAAGTTTTCATTCTATACACTGGATGGAGCTCTTATAAATAAGATTAACTGGATTGTGGCAGTTGGGCATGCTAATTTAATTGAGTTATTGGGACAGCAGCCATTTGGTCTATGATGAGAAATTAATTCTGACCAGTATCACAGCTGGTACAGTTAGCAGGACCAGCATCAACACACTGAGCACAAGTGTGGTCACAGAGGTGACACTGTCCACTGGATGGGTACTTCCCATCTGAGCAGCTGACCACACATCGACCCTCATCAAGCCAACTACAAGAACAGGAAATGCACATTATTAGCAAATAACTGTACAATAAAATACAATTAAATAATTAAGATTTTTTTTAAATAATTATAATAATTAAGAGTTTTTGATGTTTTTGAAAGAAGTCTCTTATGCTCACCAAGGCAGCATTTATTTGATCAAAAACACAGTAAAATACTAATATTGTGAAACATTATTGCCATTTAAAATAATTGTTTACTATTTTAATAAAAAATGTGATTTATTCTTATGATGACAAAATATAATTTTTCAGCCTTACTCCACTATCACATGATCCTTCAGAAATTATTCTAGTTTGCTGATTTGGTGCTCAGTTATTATAAATTATTATTGGTGCTCAATTATTATATAATAATGATTCTTCCTATTATCAATGTTTAAAAAAAATGCTGCTTAATATGACAAGCAATTGTTGAAATTTTTTCTTACTGTGTGTTGGAGCAGCTGAGACAGTCCACACTTGTTGAACCTTTACATTTATGACAGGACACATCGCATGATTGATTTATTCTTATGATGACAAAATATAATTTTTCAGCCTTACTCCACTATCACATGATCCTTTAGAAATTATTCTAGTTTGCTGATTTGGTGCTCAGTTATTATAAATTATTATTGGTGCTCAATTATTATATAATAATGATTCTTCCTATTATCAATGTTTAAAAAAAATGCTGCTTAATATGACAAGCAATTGTTGAAATTTTTTCTTACTGTGTGTTGGAGCAGCTGAGACAGTCCACACTTGTTGAACCTTTACATTTATGACAGGACACATCGCATGACTGACACTCTCCACTCTCATCCTGATATTCCCCTTTAACCACAAACATAAATCAATTACAATTATATCTGAAATGTTACAACCAGTGTTGGGGGTAACGCATTACAAGTAGCACAAGTTATGTAATCAGATTACTTTTTTTCCAAGTAACTAGTAAAGTAACGCATTCGTTTATAAATTTAAATAATACATTTATTTTATTAATAAATTTATTATTTAAATTTATTATCGATATTTCACTTGTACTGTGTCGCTAAGATGCTACGGAGAAAAGTTATTTTCTCCGATAACTGAATCCTTTTTTCAATAACGCAGTGTAACTGCATGACCATTGGTTCATGCAGTGAATTAAAAACGAACCAATGACTCGGCAGCAGAGCTGCACGAGCCTATGGCAACGAAGCTATCTTCCACACAGAGAGGCTTCCCCCGTCCTCTTCACTCAGCTAGACCAGTGTCCCTCTGCCAGTGCGAGCGACCTGGTCTTGTTCGGTGGGAGTGACGATGAGCGGCCAGATGACAGCATGTCATTAGCAGCCTCGGATGCATAGGAGCTGTCAGGCTCAGTCCATGACGCTGCCCTTTGCTGTCGTCTGAACCCAGCGACGCCAAGCCTGGGATGGATGCCAAATTATTCTGTGTCCTCTCGAAAGCGGTCAAGGAGATGGGATTGAAGGGGTCTTCTCCCGAAGAGCCCACTCACAGCCGCCTGGACGAATGGTTCCTGCCAGGGCGCTGTCAAGCCCCTCCTCAGCGAGCCTCTCCGTTTTTCCTGGAGGTCCACAACGAGCTCACCAGATCGTGATGCGCCCCCTACTCAGCCCACCTGCGTGCTTTGGCTTCATCCACCCTCACCTCCGTAGATGGCGCTGAAGCAAGAGGTTACGAGAAGCTTCCTCCCTTGAATGAGTCTGTGGCTGTGCACCTCTGCCCGCCCACTGCCATCGGTTGGAAAGCGAAAGTCGCTCACCCCTCTCAGGAGTCCCTCCTTTGAGCCGCTACAATCGACCGGCCTCCGGCCCCTGCCACTGAATACCGCCCTGTTGCTAGCTTTAGCATCAGTCAAGTGACTGCAGGCGATATCTGTGAGCCCTGCCTGCCTTGATTTCGGGCCCAGCAACTCCAAGGTCGTCCTGAAGCCAAGGCATGGGTATAAACCTAAAGTGCTCTCCACTCAATTTAGAGCATAGGTTATAACTCTATTGGCGCTTCCACCCTCAGGGGATGACCAAGAGTTGAAATTTCTCTGTCCTGTCAGGGCTCTGAGAATTTATATTGAGTGTTCCGCTCCGTTTAGACAGTTGGAACAACTCTTTGTAGGCTTCGGTGGCCGTGCCAAAGGGCTTCCGGTCACGAAGCAGAGACTGTCCAAATGGATAATAGATGCTATTACTTTAGCATACTCCTCTCTGGGCCTGCAATGCCCTATAGCAGTAAGAGCCCACTCCACTAGAGGCATAGCCTCGTCCTGGGCTTGGTCTAGCAGTGTGTTCATCACAGAAATCTGTGCGGCGGCCGGCTGGGCCTCGCCGTCCACCTTTGCCAGGTTCTATAATCTGGACGTCCCAGCCTTACAGGCCCGGGTCCTTTCTGCATAGTGAACATGCACCCACCAAAGGGCAGAACCAGTTCTTAGGCTTTGCCTTATTCCTGTACGCTCTTGGCCCTACCTGAGTGCAGAGGCTGTACGGAGTCGTCCCTGGAGAGCTTACCCTGTCGAATACTTGGACTCTCTGAGCCCCTTTTGGTGCTTAAGGCGAGTTTAAATATTGGTCGTACCTCTAGCAAAGCACGGCGGGATTGTACTGGTTCCCCGTTGCATCTTACTGTACTGGTAACTAACATAACCTCCACGAGTACTGCGTAACAAGCCGTGCTGTGTAGCTGCATGACTCAGTGTCGTCGCTTCAGACGAAGTAACCTGAGGATCCTATGGCGAAATGCCTGCTTATATTCCCCATTCTGGCGGGCTCTGGCGCGCTTCATTGCCATAGGCTTGTGCAGCTCCACTGGTGAGCCATTGGTTCGTTTTTAATTCACTGCACGGACCAATGTCCGTACAGTTACACTGCGTTATTGAAAAAAGGCTTCAGTTATCAGAGAAAATGACTTTTCCCCATAGCGTCTTAGCGATGCAGTACTCGTTCCCGTATCTCTGGGAACTCAGGTTACGTTGGTAACCGAGTATGTTAATTTTTCAAAATAAGTAACGCCATGCAGTTACTTTATTTTCCCATTTATTGACTGACAGCTCTCCTGTCCCCATGTTGAGAGAAATCAGGAGTAAGTGCAGAGGCGCTTATTGGCATAACAATGATGTCATTAAAATCACAAAGCTTCAGTAAAACTTGTCAAATGATCTAAAAAAGTAGCTTATCCTCATAATGAGATCAGTAAATTCAGTCACTACATGACTATATCAGTAGCAATAAATAGCCAACATTATCTCTACTATAGATCAGATTTTTTCTTTTTGCATTTGTCGCTTTAAAGAATGTGCTTTAAAAACACAAATTTAAAACAGCCAGACAAAAACTAATCCCTAAAAATCCAAGGATCAAAAGTTCAACTAAAGCAAGCACTGATCTCTATCACGGTGACATCAAACGTGACTATTTTCACTAAAACATTAACATTTAAGCCTCTGTTAAGTCTCAACAAGAACATTTGTATGAAATTAAGTCAAAATGATTAGTAATAGCCTAAGTGAAGATGTTGAGATCTTGATAGGTCTCTTTAATGTTCTGTTGCCGTAAGTCATTTGACAATTTTATTTATTTATTTTTATTTTATTCATTTATTCGTAAATTTTGTTGGTTTGTTACATACAAAATGAAGAGAGAGCCGCCTTTTGTAATAATACCAATCAGGCCTGTTGCAGGCAGAATTGCTTGCAGTTGTCAGTCACATTAAATAAAGAGTGAGCTGTTTTAATACAATTTTTAATTCACAACACTTGAAATATTAATTTTAATTTTTTTGTAGGTAAATAAGTTAAGCAAACTTTTGAACTTTTGTTTTTGATATATGAGCCTAAAACGCAAAATTCTAAGCAATATGCATTGACTCGTTTAGTTACACTCGAAGATGATAGGGCTCTCAGGCGAGATCCCAATTCGTTGGTACGTTCCGACGTGATGTCGAACGTGACCAACTGAAAGGGATCTAGTAACTAGTACTCTGAGCAGTTTTTGAGAAGAGTAATTTGTACTTTTACTAAAGTACTGTTTTGACACCAGTACTTTTACTTGTAACTGAGTATTATTTCAGCAATGTAACAGTACTTGTACTTAAAATGATTCAAAATTATATAAGACAAGCATTAACATAATCTAAAACTATTTATTTCCTTTGAAGAACCAGGATTCCCACTGTCTTGGAAAACCTGGATATACTGCATGAGGAAGCCTAATTGTAAAAGTGTGATTTTTAGACCTGGAAAAATCATGCCAATGTATAAAATCAACTGGAAGAGACACGCAAATTACGTCATTATTTCAGCAATGTAACAGTACTTGTACTTAAAATGATTCAAAATTATATAAGACAAGCATTAACATAATCTAAAACAATTTATTTCCTTTGAAGAACCAGGATTCCCACTGTCTTGGAAAACCTGGATATACTGCATGAGGAAGCCTAATTGTAAAAGTGTGATTTTTAGACCTGGAAAAGTCATGCCAATGTATAAAATCAACTGGAAGAGACACGCAAATTACGTAGTTAAGTAGATGGGAACCCCAAAGAATATAAAAACTCCTAAAACTTCTGAAATCCTTAATTGAAATTATTTCCATTTGAATTATAATTATTTTAGTTATTTATTTTTGCCTTCGAATATTGTTGTGGACAATAAATGTGGTGGGCCTTGGAGCCAAAAAGATTGAGAACCACTGTTCTAGGGTTGAACTCAGGCATGTTGATCTGAATACATTTGGTGGGATGTCATTGATGATGTATTGCATTTTTGTGGATTGTACCAGCACATGTAGCACAGGCTGGGTGGCAGGGCTCACACGAGTCCTCCGGCTCACTGTAGTAACGGCCCACCTCACAACTCTTCTGACATCTGTTCCCCACCAGACTGAAAGAGACAGTCATCTTTCATTACAATGAAAAGACTTGGCTACATTTTGTCATGAAATTCAAATATTTTATTAAAATCTATTACCTTGTGCCATCAGAGCACTCCGTGCAAATGGAGGCTGAGGTGCATTTCATACAGTTCTCAATATTACACTTCCTACACACGTTTTCCTCTGTATGGCAAAAACATTAATAACACAAAATTAGTCGAAGGTATGTCCTAACTAATCTCTAAATAACATCAAATCTCTTGCAATATTTCTTGCTTTTTCTTTAAAGTTCATACCATAGAGGAGCTATTCTTGGTTCCGCAAAGAACCTATCAGTCAATAGTTATTAAAAGAACCATTTTTAAATAGTGTGTTAAGTGTAATGTTCTACTTAGTGTGTAAGTAGTAGTTCTTGTTATTATTATTATTATTATGAAGAACATTTTGTGCAATGGAAAAGTTCCATGGGTGTTAAAGGTTGTTTAAGGAACCATAGATGTCAAAAAAGAACCTTTATTTTAGAAGTATTATTTTTAGAAGTATAAGCCAAGTAACTGGCTTATTTTTCAGTGCTGATACAAAATCGGTGGCATCACTCTTACCATAGTAAAGATAGGAACCATCCTCACAGCTGGTCACACAGTTGTTCTTTTCCTCATTCAGATGATATCCAGATTTACAGGCTGTGCACTGATCACTGCGGCTGCCCAAACATGACTTGCAGGAGGAGTAACACTTTTTACACCTCTTCTTATCTCCCCAGTACCCGCTCGGACAATCAGACACACAGGTCCTGAAAAATGAGAGGGTGTAGTATTATCAAAAACCTTTTGAAGTAGAAAGAGAGAGAAAAAAAAAGTACAAAAGTAAAATTCTCTGACCTTGTGTTATTTTTGAACTTTAGGAAAAAGTGCAAGCAGGAAAGACATTGATGGGGTTCAGATCCTTCACAGCCATCCTCACTACACTCTGAGTCACAAGAGCCTTAAATTGAGGAGAAGGGAAATGAAAAGGTATTCCATATACAAAGGAATTATATATTTACAGTGGCACCAAGAAGTGCCCCTGTGACAAAAGAAGTGCACTTTAGCATATTTTTTTTTTTATAAAGAGTACTTATTAAGAAATAATATATTTTAAAATAATATACTTAAGTGTGAACCAAATGTAATATTTCACTCAATTACATGCTATTTACAACAACATGAAAATGTATTATAGTTTAAATTTATATTAAAAGTAATTAGTTGAACTTAAGAGTGTTATGTGACCCACTTTACTAAGACTTAAGTACATATTTTGGCTTTTGAAACTTGTCTGTCATGTACTATTTAAATATATTTGTAATCACACATTTATAATGAATAAGTTGGCAATTTGGTAAAGGTAAAATATATTAACTCTAAATGTAATATCAAATAAGACACTACAGTTAAAATGGTAATCAATTACTTTACATGCGCTTTTATAATGTTAGTCAACACATCAAAATAAGTGTACTTTAAAGCATGACAAAAGATTATTAAAATATAATGATATAAAATATACTTTAAATCTTTTTATTTGACATATTGACATATTACAAAGTGTATTTAAGTGTGTTAAGAAACATGAAAGTGTACTCTCTTTAAGTACACTTAAGTGGCTTTTTATATGATATTATCTGCAAGAACAGCTTTTTAAAAAATATATACTTTTATGACTTGACGTACACTAAGTACACATTCAACACAGTTAAGTGCACTCCTTTTTCACACGAGTGGGAAGTTAAGTGCTCTTAAAAATATATAAATGTCATTGCATTAGAAAATAAAATGACTAACCAGGTGGCATTTATTTTACAGACGAATAGCACAAGCACACTATTCAAACAAAACAATGGAGCTGATTTACATCCATAAAAAATCACTGTGTCCCAGATAGTAAAAGGTCATTTTAATATTGCTTAAATGGCCTTTGGCGATTGCACTAGATTTTTTTATGAAATTCATACATTAAGTGTCCACATAGTTCGTTGCGGCACTGTATATTGTAATTATTTTTAATTTAAATTGTATTATGTAAAGTTGTTTGGCTTATAAAGGTAAATCACCATTGTACTCCTCTGGGATGTCATCTTCAGACAGCAGCTGGGCAGAGCGGGGCTGCTCATGTCGAATGTATGGATGTGTGAGTGTTCCATAAAGCACCAGGGACCATTCAACCAGTTTCCCTAATGTAATCAACAAAGAAAAAACATTTTACTCTACATTCTATGGCAGTTGTACTTGACATTATAACATGGATGTTACCACACTATACTTTAAAGTATCTTGAAGTTGGAGTACCCATTAAATGGTGTTACATGGATATGGTAATCATGTATATCATTATATAGGTTTTTTTTTTTTAAGGTGGTGGGCACCTTGTAGTCGGCCGTTTCTCCGTGGAGATGGTGTGTCTCTGATGTCCAGGATCCAGTCTCCTGCTGGTCTTTCACCCCAGCAGTGAGTCGTCATGAATTCCCACTTAAGGAAGCCCTCGTTGGAGTGGTCATTCGGTCTGAGAGGAAATAGTCCCAGAATAATTGAAAGATAATCCTAAATAATTAGTGGGAAAATTGTGTATTTGGAGAAGTTGCTGATATTTATATGGCCAAGTAAAATTTAATTCTGATAGCTTGTAATGTAAATCAATAAGATCTTTACAACAGTATAACAGAAATGTACATACTGTAAATATCAGTTGTCACTCTATATATCCCAATATTACAGTATGTCTCAGTAGATGACATTTAAATGCTTAGTTTTATGTTCACAGCACCATAGTTTTTGTTATGTTTAAATCTTATGATTGAGAGATGTACAAATAAAGATTCCTCAAAAGCCTGATTTATCATATTTGATACTCATATTTTAACATGATTTTTCTAAAACATTATATATGGATACTAAACCTTCAGTCCAGTGTTCATCTTGAAATATTACTAACAATATAAAATGTATTACATTTACTTTATAAAACGCTAAACGCAAAAAGACACGTTTACATTTGGTGGACATTTTTTAAATTACACTAAAAGGCCTTTTACTTGCTAAACAAATAATAATTTGGAGGCCTCATAAATTTCATCAAACATGACATAGTAGGCTTTGAAGGGTGAATCATGTACTGTTTTTCAGTAAATACAGTTATTATTTTAATTCCAGTCCATCTGAGCTGGCTCAGCATATTTGTACCTGTTTGTGAGAAGCTGAGATCTGGTTCCAGAGGGTGATGTCAGTGTGACTGACAGGTCTCCACGGTGAGGATGTGTGATTGTGACACGTACAATCACATGCTCCAGATAGACCACCCGCTGCAGACGCTGAGAAGAGCAGCCTGAGGACTTAAACACTGACCTCAACACCCTCTCTGGACTGATGATCCTGAGATGCATAAATGGAGAGGAAAAAGTACCATGGCATTACTATGATATTCTTTTAAGTATCTTGGAGGACGATGTAAATACCATGGTATAAAAATATGGTAATAATGAGCAAGATTATGAGCAAACAGTTACCTGGCAGTCTGGACTACGTTTTCCTCACACATGTGTTGAGGAGGCACCTGCTTCCAGATCTCTGCTTCCTTCACCATGGCTTCAGCATCCATCAAGCCAAACCCATAAAGGTGACTAACTACACAACAGCCAATGATGACACAGTTCATTACACACTGCCAATGAAAGCATGCTTTATCTTCCCTGCAATTGCATGCTCAGTGATTAATGACTGCATCTCGTCTCACACACTATGTTTTTAAAGTATGTACCACATACTAAAAGTATGCTGTTCAACCCCCTCTGGCAGATGCTGTAACTACACCATCCAGTTCCAAAACTATTTTTCTCAATCGAAGGCCATTAAAAATGGCTGTGTATAAAATACATGCCTTTCCAAGCAACCTACTGTGGCTAAAAACCTTGAATAAATCTGAATAAAGCTTTTTTATTATTATTATTTTTGAAGGACATGGGGTGCTGGATTTTTTATTTTTTTTAGCTGTGATTCATTTTTAAGCCAAATTAAATACATGATGTTTAATAAACAGGCTCATTTTACCATCATATCCAGCTCCGTTGCTCTGCCAGTCTGAAGCACTCAGGTGACCACGACGTGAAGTTTTCACCACAATGTGCTGAACGTCCCTCCAGGTTAGAGCTGGACTGAGGACAAAGAACAAAGAAATGAGTTTATTCATCAAATGCTCAACAGGAATGACAGTAAATATTTTATCCTACAGCGTGATTGGCTCAATAAACCTGTATGTGAAACAGATCCCATGAGCAATGATGGCAGAATTCAGCTCTGATCGAATCTGAACCAATGGAAAGAGTTAAAGTTCTGCAATGAGGTGATCCAAGCTATGTGTTTTACTCTTGCCAGTTGGAAGATGTTTAGGCTTAAGATCGACGCATTTGATTTGACCACAAAGCACTTGCCAGATCTAACAGATAGAGGACTCCATCTAACAGGCGGAGCATAAACCATGACTGCTTACTTTGCCTCCAACGTGAGAGCGATGATTCCTGCAGCCATAGGGGCTGATGCTGAAGTGCCAGAGTGCTCATCAGTGCAACGCTGCCTCAAATCAGTTGTCACCTGAAAACCCATATATGCATGGAACCAGTGAGGAAAAACTAACAATTTTTGACAAAGTATCAAACAAATACACAATGATTGACTCACAACGCCTAAACTGTGACTGTCTCCACTGCTGTAAGTGGTGGCCAAAGTAGAGGAGCACTCCTCCAGGTACCACGGCTTTCGGCCACTCTGAGTGGTGCTGCCCACTGAGATGGTGTAAATGCTGTTGGTGTAACCATCACATGAGCAGTGGTCTTGACTCTGCCCACCATTTCCTGATGCCCACACAAAGATGGAGCCACGGCCCTTTCTGCCCTGAGATGCAAAGAGGAATATATATATATATATATATATATATATATATATATATATATATATATATATATATATATAACAAAAAAATAAAAAAAAACTCTGAGTGGTGCTGCCCACTGAGATGGTGTAAATGCTGTTGGTGTAACCATCACATGAGCAGTGGTCTTGACTCTGCCCACCATTTCACCATTTCCTCACAAAGATGGAGCCACGGCCCTTTCTGCCCTGAGATGCAAAGAGGAATATATATATATATATATATATATATATATATATACATATTACGATAAAATATAAAAACTATTAACACTCTGGTGTCAAGCAAAAATACAATTTAAGCAATTTTTTAGCCATGATACATCCATGTACACACAACTCATTACCAACTGCAATTACCAAAACAATGTTCCTCTGCAAATAACCTCTGAATATAAACTCCAGTGGCAAAATGTTACATATTTTAGCTTTAAGTGCAATAGTAAAAATATGTTGTTACTTTCCACAGCTGGTGTAGAGAGTCTACTATTGGTCTTTGGGTCTTGTACGGTCTGGTCTTGATTCAAACTGCCCTATACTGCTCAAACACACACTAACTTTGCGAATGCCCTTCTCCAGAACGAGCCGGGCAAGAGGGCCGGGGCCATCTACTGTTCTGCCATCATCATCTGGACCCCAACTGGAGCTGTAGATGTCAATATACTGCTGTTTCAGACTCAGAGATTGGGCTTCCACCATATCAGTCATATCCCCATCCAGCATACGCACACCTACAGGGAGGAGAGATTGGGAAACACAGCTTCATAAATATCAATAACAGGCTGTTTCAAATACCATATTACATACTACCAGTACTAAATGATTATTGTTGCATAAATCATATAGGCAGTATATAGTCTACCAAACATAGCCATAGAGACATATGTATACAAACATAAACAAACACTTCTGATAACTCACCACCAATTTTTGCATTGTAGGCAATTCCGACAATGCAGAGGGAATTGTTCGCAGAGGCAGCTACCACACCAGCACATCTTGTCCCATGTCTTACATGAAATCACAAAGAAATGGAAAACCGAATTTTTGTCTAGAGGACTTAATTTTTTTAAATGTATTTAAATTGAAAATATGTGGAGACTAAGTGAAAGGGGAGTAAGACTGAGTCACAGTGGAAATTAACTAACTTATTTTCATTGGTTGCATCATAATGTGGTGTTGGATCGGGATCGTTGCTGTTGACATCATAGCTGGCTCTTGCATCCTTATAAAGATAGAATGACACATTAAAGGGACAGTTTGCCCAAAAATGAAAAATTCTGTCATCATTTATTCACCCTCCACTTGTTCCAATCCTAGATGATCTTCTTTCTTCTGCTGAACACAAAATAAGTTATTTTGAAGACTGTTGGTAACTAAACAGTTGACAGTTGTTATTGACTTCCATAGTATTTTTTTTCCATACTATGGAAGTCAATGGCTACCGTCAACTGTTTGGTTACCAACATTCTTCAAAATAACTTATTTTGTGTTCAGCAGAAGAAAGAAGCTCATATAACATTCTTCAGAATATATTTTGTGTGTGTGTGTGTGTGTGTGAGTGAGTGAGTGAGTGAGTGAGTGTTTGTGTGTGTGTGTGTGTGTGTGTGTGTGTTCATATGCAGAAATTCATACAGGTGTGGAACAACATGAGGGTGAGTACATGATGACAGAATTTTCAATTTTGGGTGAACTATCCCTTTAATAACATCTGTTATATTAACAACATATAAACAGTCCTTCCTATTTTGAATATCTTACTCTCAGTTTTAAATAATCAAAATTATTGACAGGCCAATATACTGCCAATTATTCAGCCAGTATTTGAGATTACTGACATTGATGAGTTTTATTTATTTATTACAAACATACAGTATATCAGATTGTATGAGTCACTCATCTCTCACTTGAGTAATCCTAAAGTCTGAAGTGTAAACCTTAAATGATGTACACAACCCAATTTATTTCCATTATTAAATTTTTATGAGATTTCTACATGCAGATATCTAATTTTTAATTTCTTGAGATTTGTTATTTCTTCTCAGATAATCTCAAAGCACTTACATAGTTCTGTTTTAGATCTGGATGCTGTCTTTCTATACCATCATCCAGAATGGAAACAACAACCCCTTTCCCAGTGTAGCCCCTACGCCAGGCGGCCTGAATGTTCATGTCGGTCAAGCAGTTGTGATCACAGTGCTATGGAACAGAAGGCAAACATAACATGTTTTAGCATGCTTTTATCCATCTCAGATTATCACTTAATTCAAATAATTGCATTAAATGTAATGCAATATATATACTTTAAATATATTTAAAGGGTCATATGATGCGATTTCAATTTTTCTTTTCTCTTTGGAGTGTTACAAGCTCTTGGTGCATAAAGAAGATCTATAAAGTTGCAAAGACTAAAGTCTCAAATCCAAAGAGATATTCTTTATAAAAGTTAAGACTCGTCCACGCCCTCCTAAAACGCCTCGTTTAAACACGCCCCCACATGTCTATGTCATGATGTGGGAAGATTTGCATAACACCGCCCAAATGTTCACGCAAAGAAAGAAGGCATAACTTTGATTCTCGCTGTAGTATTGTTGTTGCCGCCGCTGCCATGTCGTGGAGACGCTGTGTGTTTCGTTATGAAAGCAGAAATACTTTGTTTGGCCTTCCAAAAGAGCACACAACTAGAAATCAGTGGTTCAGTTGTATTTACAACACTGTTCCGGAACAATTCAAACCAAATATTCAGATGTGTGCAGCGCATTTTATGGAGGACGAGGACTGTTTCCTGGGACAGTAGCCTACAATGCCAGTGTCTGTTTCTATAAAGTGTGGCAATTTCAACTTTGCAAGGACAGTCTGGCGCTTCTGACTCACGGCTTGTAAGTATGTTTTCATATTTAAAGAATTTGCCACTGACGATTCAAAAGCGAGTTTTGAGCAGTATAGAGTAGCGCTTGTTGTTTGTCGTTTCTCCAATCACAAATGCAGACAGGGTTTTATGTTTCCGCAGCACGATACGCAACGCAACGCGTAAAAAGACAGTTTAAGTCATTATAATCCGTAATTATGTCCCCACTGGATGCAACAAATGCCTCGTTTATAATGGGTTTTAATGTTTTTGTCTCGTCGCTCCAGACTGACAGGGCATCACAGTATGGTAAGGGGCGCAACATTTCCGTCACACGCTTGAGGTATTCGGCCAATCACAACGCACTGGATAGCTGGCCAATCAGAGCACACCTCGCTTTTCAGACCGATGAGCTTTGTGAAAATCGACACGTTTCAGAAAGGCAGGGCATAGAGGAGAAACAATAATGAACATTATGTTAACCTTAAACCATTAACACATTGCATTACACCAAATACACCAAATAATTTATTTTTAGCAACGTCATATGACCCCTTTAACTATATTGTTTCCATAAAGGTACTCTTTTTAAAAGTATGCAAGGGATATTTCAATATGATATAACACTTCTGAACATATTACTTTAGTTTAGTATTGTTCAGTTTATTAATGTCTTTTAACTGAATATAACATTTCTGATTGTAATGTGTTGCATACTAACAATATACCACATGTTGTCCCATTCAGGGTCATTGAAGCTGGCAGCATGGGTTTGGTCCATTGTGTCAGTTCTTTTTACTCTCTTCTGAACCATCTGTTGCTGGATCCACTTCACCTTTAGCATTAGAACATATTTATGATGTGCTGCTGAATACATATCATGCTTCGCAAACCACAGTGAATTAAATGAAATATTAATTAAGTGCAATTATCATTGTCTCATTTAGTTTTGGCCAAGTTTAAGGATGCATCCATGTGGTTTGGTGTACCGCTCTCTTAATCTGTTTTGGTAAGTGTGTGTGGTGTTTATAGGGTGGTGTAGTCTAACTTGTTAACTATTCAGTGGTGTCTCAGTGACTGAAGGTATATGATCCTTGTACCTTGGTCTCCGTGGCGATGAGACTGTGGTTTCCTCTGCTTTTAATTGTGGACCGTTTGATAATGCTGCTGTGCTGGAACTGGTAATGGTCTACTAGCCCACCTATCTGCAGTGACACAAGGGGAAGAAGATTGTGTTTTATATATACAGGCGCTGCTCAAGTGTGACTGACAGAGATATAAATTATGTATTCATCCCTGACGTATGCCTTTGAAACAACAAACGGGTTATCCAACACCGCTGATAGACTTACCATCAGAGGCAACCTGAGCTACCACTGAACGATTCAGCAGAGCTTAAACTTTGGCTGCTGATTACTCTTTGACACCCTGTGCCTTGACATTATAATGTTGGCCGAAGCCATACCAGATTTAACCGGAACTAAACAGCCCCACTGTGGACGGCAGTTACACATTCCATTTGACTCAGTAGAGGAAGCCAGTATCTACATGTAACCAAAGACAACATGTGCGTAATTAGACAAAGCACACAGAGCAGGAAACCCAAATAGTGACCATGGGCCAAAGAAATCCCATGATGCATTGCACAACAAACCACTGGGATTAAAACTGGCCTAAAAGTGACACTACACACTCTAAAAAATGCGGGGTTAAATATAACCCAGCACTGGGTTAAAAAGGGACAAACCCAGCTATTGGGTTGTTTTGACCCAGCGGTTGGGTTGTTTTGAAAAACCCAACCGCTGGGTCAAAACAACCCAATAGCTGGGTCAAAACATCCCAATAGCTGGGTTTGTCCCTTTTTAACCCAGCGCTGGGTTATATTTAACACAGCATTTTTTAGAGCGCAGGAATATTCCAAGCTCTACTCACAGCATCTTTTGAAACAATTTTATTTGTATGTTTTTGAAAGAAGTCTCTTATGCTTATCAAGGCACTCCCTTTTGATGGCAAAACTGAATTTTCAGCAGCCATTACTCCAGTCTTGTCCTTGCTAAATAAAAGTATTTAAAAAAAAAAAAACAGTACTGAACCCAAACGTTTGAACTGTAGTATATGTGTTGACAGTTTTACATTTTACACAGTTTTACTGTACATTAGCCTGACTTATAGACTAGTTTCCATTTCAAATGCATTCCTATACACAACTTTGTTCCTGTTTTTTTCTCTAATTTTAAACTCAAATATTAAATTAAGTGAAAATTACATTTAAAAATCTTGAGTGTCATTTAAAAATTAGTGTCCTGTCTCATTAAATTATATCTCTTAAATTTACAATTGTTATATTTATTTGCACAGTAAGTTCCTTACTTATTTTCTCTCCGAGGAGACAAAAGAAAGTGTGCCAGTTGGTTTACTGAAGTAGGGTATAAGATGCCAACGAGTTTAGGAGCTCGTCTTGCATGGTTAAACACATTTATTATACAAGAGCCAGTGACCCAGAGACATGGGCTCGGTAAGAATGAAAGGCTAATTTGAAAGAAGACAAATTCTAGGAACAAGGACTAGAGTTTGTGTTTGCACAGAATGTGTTCATAAGAATATGAGTTTGTCTATGAAGTTTTATCATGGCAATAATTGGACCTGGTGAAACATCATCTTCTACTTTAACAGTAATTCAAGCATGACTTGAATAAAATTCCACATGGATTTGCTTTTCAATTTACCATGGTATTACCAACTGTGACCATCACTGTATCATGATGAAAAGTTACCAATTACAGTTCTGGGATCATGCAGAAAACATAAAGACACAAAAGCATCTATTTTGATAAATCACATTATGTTTTTTTATAAGCCTTTGAGATACATAAGCATTTCAATACTGGAAACACGCATTTTAAATAATTAATACAAAGTTTAAAAAATTACCAGTTTATATTGTAAAAAGGGAGACTGTCAAGCTTTTTTTTTAGATGTTAACAGATGAAACCTATTTAACTGGCAAAGCATTATTGCAGTGCACTTACCTGGCCCATGTTCACAAATCCGTATTTTTCTGCAATAAGATCAGCAGCATCAGAACCTCCAGTTATTTTAACCGCCCAGCGGTTTGTGAAGATTTTTGTCTGGACACATTGGAGTCCAATCCAAAGTAAAAATGCATATGGAAAAAGTGCTGTAGGAGACATCTTCAGACAGCTTCATGCAGAAATATTGATCTGATGACACTCCTCATTGAAAATTTCTCATTAAAAAGTGACTTGACATTGTCTATAATAGCATGGACTGTCAAATGATTGTAAAAAAGTTCCTAAAGGACCTCGTTTTACTGTGTGAGTGCTACTTCATTGTGATGGCTCCACTGCATCTGTTGCCGTGGCACATCTTCTCCAATTACAGTCCTATCAGTTTCTACAGGTGCACTGTGTGCTCGGACAGCAAACAGGAAACACTGGGAACACTGGATAATAGGCCTAACATCCATTCATGACATTATTATATTAAACAGCATTGGATCAATGTGCTTTTTAATATTATTTGCTTGCTGTATATTTAGCCAAATGCTTATTTGTATTTATTTTTTCCTATTTGTTATTTCTTTTCTCTTTTCTTATATATTTAGTTTTACATATAATTGTTGATGCCTTCTATGTAAACATTGTGTATAAATATAATTACCTTCAAGTAATCTAAAACCGTGTTTCTGAATTGATCGATTTTATTCACGTTAACTCAAGAACTGAATCAATATCAAGAATAAACCTCAATGCATTGGGTTACACCAAAATATGTGGTCAGATCAGGAAGAAATAGCTCCTTATGGCAACAACAACTGTATGTTTTCAGTGACAGTATACATTCAAATGTCAAAAACTTTGAGAATCATACAGCTTGCTTGCACAAATATAGATATGTAGATGTAGAATTTTTTTTTTTCTCAATTAATTAATGATGTTACTTTAAAGTATCCTGAGACACTTAAACCACATGCCTTTGAGTGTACTGGCCAAAGAAAAAATATTACACAATGAGTTGCACAACGAGTTTTAATGAAACACTCCTAAAGAGCCACACCCTGAGGAGATTAGACGTTTACACGGGTCATGAATACACCCATGTAATGAACAGATGTGTTTAGCATGATCCAGTTGAATGAAGATATTTATTGTTGTCTACGGAGTCCCACAGAGTGCCAGCACGATCTTCTCATAATCCCCTTTTGTTTCTTTCTGTAAAAACAAAGAAGCCACTTTTCATTGAGGTTTTAAATACGAGTGATCTAAGAACGCGAAATTAAATGCAGATCACACTTTTCAGATCACCCATTATGAGTTACACATACTCACCAGAAGGTCTTCCTGAAGGCTTTTGCCATACATCCTCTTGTACTCTTGCATGATTTTCAGCAGGTCAATTTCTGAACGACTCACAAGGATTCTAGTCAGCGTGTCAGTGTCGGTTCCCAGTCCCTATAAAGCAAGACCATATTAGAGTTTATTTGATTTGATGACGTGACTGAATTCTGTTGGCAGCTATTTTTGTTGGTTTGTCCATTTGTTAATAACAGGATAAGTTAGCACTTGTACCAAAGAAAATGTTAAACTTCTCAATCTTTGTAATGCAGTTATAATGGTATTAGTTGAGATGCCAAATCTGACCAGTTATTTGTGAAAATGCAAATTTGCTTAATATAGTGATAAATAGATTTGAACAAAGTCTTCTTCATCAAGATGTTGACACCCTGATTGCTATCCTTTAGACCAGAAAAAAAGTCATTTTAAAGTCTTCAGAAATTGGGTTCTAGCCTCTTTGATCATTGGAGCAGATAAAAAAACAACACAGAAATTCTCTGAAAAAAATCGATCAAATGGAATACATTTCATGAATTTCTCTGCAACTTTACCTTCATAGCCAGTTTGAGCCTTTCTGCAAAGTAGGCATGTTTGTTCAAAGCACTTTTCACTAAAACATGAAAAAGACAGTAAGAACATTGTTAATGCAAACACAAACAAACAAACAAACAAATTAATTAATTCCTTTAATTATAATAATTCTTCTTCTTCTTATTAATTATAATTATAAATGAATTTGAACAATGTTCAATATTTTTTTTACATAAATTTAGTTAATCTTGGATATTTGTACCTAACCTAAGTTTTTGTGTGTGAGAATGAAACCACCCTCAACGAAACCACCCTCAACACGCACAGCTGGAAAAACAGGCCTGTCTTTTGAAAAAGTTTTAATAGAGCTGCCTTCATTCATATGGCCACTGAAGCATTTAAAACGACTATTTCTCTTTCACACACCCACACAGACTTAAATTAAGTCTTATATATTTACCCAGGGTCATCAGGCAGTCTTCAAAGTTTCCACTCAGCTCACCCTCAAGATCTTTGGCCAAACCGTCTTTGCTGAATTGGCCATAATATTGTAAAACTGTAGATTTTAAACAACACTGTTAGTGCCTCAAAGAACCAAAATGGCATATCATAGAAATCAACTATCTCTGAAGAGGAATCAGAGTTCTCCACTTACTTTTGCACAACTGAGCTTCACTCCTGTTTGTGAGGATGTCAATCAGAACAGAGCAAACAGTGCCAATCCGATTCTCTCCTGCTTCAAAAAGAGCCTGAAACAACAACATAGCAAAGTCAGAGACAGTCAGTATCTACATTAGGTAACTCTTTAGAATAATGGTCCGTGGTTAACAAGTATGCAGGAAGTAATAGGTAGTGCTACATGAACACTGAACCTTATACTATTACCTAATATGGAAGCAAGATTAACTAAGCAGTAAGTAATAGCAAATTTAGGACAAAGGTAGTTCCTTATTAGGTATTTGATAATTACTAATTAGAAACATCCTCATTGAAAACTACTTGCAAACTATGACCAATTAATAAAGAATAAACGATTAATTATTAATCATAACAGTAACATGTCTAAAAAAGTGAACAATTTTCTTTTTAAAATTCTTAACATGGTCATAAAATGTCTTTTTCAGAATCTTGCGCCTCAAATGGGTTCTTCGTGGAAACTAATTTATGAATATTATATCCCCCCAAATATGGCTACAGGTTGAGATTGTGACTACTGCTCTTACCGAATGATGGACGTATGTTCTCTGTTTATTTCAAACTTAGACATAGAATAATAATAATAATGGTAATTTGCATTAAATGTAAATAATTCAAAAGTGATGCTGAAATTATTTCACTATTATGATCTTTTCAGTGTCAGTTCAATATGTCTCTGACTCTAAAAGACCTACCTTTAGTGACAGTATCCTGGGGAGGACTTCTCTTTAGGATATAAATATAAACCATGATGTTCTCGTCAAAAACAATTTGCATCCTTAATGAAGACATTGACTGCATTTATATTACGTTAAGCACAAAACCACATCTTCCAGATTATAATGTCTGTTGGAATATCACTAGTGCCTCGCAGAAATGCATGGCTGTAGATGTATGTGTCAGATATAAAATACATTAAAATATAATATATATATACTCAATAATTATATATATATATATATATATATATACAGTATATATATATATACTCAATAATACTCATAATTACTCAAGCGTTACCTTATCAGCCCACTTGAGTAATTAGTGAGGGGTTAACTTGTTAACGTGTTTTTCACTTTAAAATCATGGTCCAGATAACTAGTAATTCCTGCGGGCCAACAAGGTAACGCTTGAGTGATTCGTTTATAGGCATGTTATTATTGTGATTAGTAATTAATTGGTTATTCTTTATTAATTGGTCATAGTTCGCAAGTAGTTCTAGCAAGATTAACTAAGCAGTAAGTAATAGCAAATTTAGGACAAAGGTAGTTCCTTATTAGGTATTTGATAATTACTAATTAGAAACATCCTCATTGAAAACTACTTGCAAACTATGACCAATTAATAAAGAATAAACGATTAATTATTAATCATAACAGTAACATGTCTAAAAAAGTGAACAATTTTCTTTTTAAAATTCTTAACATGGTCATAAAATGTCTTTTTCAGAATCTTGCGCCTCAAATGGGTTCTTCGTGGAAACTAATTTATGAATATTATATCCCCCCAAATATGGCTACAGGTTGAGATTGTGACTACTGCTCTTACCGAATGATGGACGTATGTTCTCTGTTTATTTCAAACTTAGACATAGAATAATAATAATAATGGTAATTTGCATTAAATGTAAATAATTCAAAAGTGATGCTGAAATTATTTCACTATTATGATCTTTTCAGTGTCAGTTCAATATGTCTCTGACTCTAAAAGACCTACCTTTAGTGACAGTATCCTGGGGAGGACTTCTCTTTAGGATATAAATATAAACCATGATGTTCTCGTCAAAAACAATTTGCATCCTTAATGAAGACATTGACTGCATTTATATTACGTTAAGCACAAAACCACATCTTCCAGATTATAATGTCTGTTGGAATATCACTAGTGCCTCGCAGAAATGCATGGCTGTAGATGTATGTGTCAGATATAAAATACATTAAAATATAATATATATATACTCAATAATTATATATATATATATATATATATATACAGTATATATATATATACTCAATAATACTCATAATTACTCAAGCGTTACCTTATCAGCCCACTTGAGTAATTAGTGAGGGGTTAACTTGTTAACGTGTTTTTCACTTTAAAATCATGGTCCAGATAACTAGTAATTCCTGCGGGCCAACAAGGTAACGCTTGAGTGATTCGTTTATAGGCATGTTATTATTGTGATTAGTAATTAATTGGTTATTCTTTATTAATTGGTCATAGTTCGCAAGTAGTTCTTAATGAAGATATATTATTAGTTGATAGTAATTATCAAAACCTAATAAGGAACAACCTTTGTCCTAAATTTGCTATTACTTACTGCTTAGTTAATCTTGCTTCCATATTAGTTAATAGTATTAAGTTCTGTGTTAAAGGGACCTTACGCTACGCCTACGTCATCCGCCGGAATGAACACGCGTACGACAGTTAGCGGAAGCTAAAGATTATGGTCTATAAAGTTTTAAATATGGATATTTTTTTTACAAAAACGCATTGATTCGCTTCAGGAGAATCAATGCGTTATTCACCCCCCAGAGCAGTGCGAGACACTTTTTTTTATTATGGATGGAGGCGTTTTATTGGACTTCTTTTGGACTATTGACAAGAAACACCCACTCACTGCCATTATAAAGCTGGGAAGAGCCAGGATTTTTTTTTTTATATAACTCCGATTGGATTCGTCTGAAAGAAGAAAGTCATATACACCTAGGATGGCTTGAGGGTGAGTAAATTATGGGGTAATTTTCATTTTTGGGTGAACTATCCCTTTAATATAGTACTACCTATTGCTTTCTGCATGGTTACTTGTTAACAACGGATCATTATTCTAAAGTGTTACCCGTTGTTTGTTTCCATTTATAATGCTTATTACATGGCTTTGTGCAAAACTTGATTATGTTGGGTCAAACATTGAGTGGTCAGATAGTTTTTTAATGACTGCAAAATTATATAATGGACCACTGTCCATAGCAACACATGAAAATGGAAACGCTGATCTGAAGAACAACAAATCAGTAAGCCTAAGTACAGAGTTGAGATTTTGCAGTAATGACCAGCTGACAAACATCACTGGCTATAGAGTAAGTGAAGAATCTTTACCTTTGCATCACTCTTAGCCATTCCATCATCAATGTTACGGTCTTCACTCCTGGTAGCCTGAAGTTATTAGATATTGATTAGCAATATGTCATCATCTATCTATTCAATACACATAAAATATTATTTTCTTGTTCTCTAACAAAACTGTCACTGAGCTGTTATTTTTGTACCTTGCAAAGGGCAAGCAGGGTAGTCTCGAGATCTCCTTTAATGTCACTTTTAATATTTTCCTCCAGCAGCTCTCCATAGACTGTACAACAGAAAGAGGTTAGCAGCTACCTCTGCTTTTAGGAAGAACATGTACAGTATGCTTGTAAATCTTTCTTGTTACCTTCTTTGTAAGAATTCTTCAATGCTGTAATCTCCTTGTTTGACCTGGTCCCCAGAATTTCATTTAGGACGGCCTCACTTGTCCCAGCACCCTGATTATCACATTTTGTGAATGACATTTTAGTGTTAGTAAGTAGATTTAAGTATTTAGTAAGGCTTTGAATAAAATCAACACACACACACACACACACACACACACACACACACACACACACACACACACACACATATATATATATATATATATATATATATATATATATATAAGAATATTGCATATATTGCAATAAGAACAGTTACAAGTTGTACCTTCATGGCTCTTTTCATTTCAAAAGCATCATACTCGGGAGGAGTCAGCAGCAAGGCCAGGACCACTTCCTCAAAATCTGACTTCAGAGCTTTTTTCAAGTCAGCTGCCAGATCCTGAGGATTAATAAATTAACATTAAATTAATAAAAAGCTATTAGTACAAAATAACACAAAAAAACAACAACTTGGAATTGACTTGGACCTACAGATACTGTAAATGCCTTGGCTCACTCATCTACAGTATGTTGCTTCGTATGTCACTTTCAAGGGTTGATAAAAAAAAAACTTTAGATAGCATTAAAACCTTGGACTGTGTATGAACCCACCATTGTCATTTAGACAAGACATTTTAGACAACCATTTCAATGACCAAGAAAGCCTGAACCGAAATTGGCAGATGGCACAATATATTACTTTCACTCATTCATCTGTATTGTCCCATACTGTCATACAGTCCATACAAAAGGATTGCTAAAGTGAAAAATTTTCAATTGTTAATCTTTCATTATTTTTGGTGCATCAAAAAAAATTAGACTACGTATGAAGCCTCAGTGTTATATTTAGCGATTAACGAATGTTATTTAAGGTGGAATGGAAAGCTTCAATAAGTAACAGATGAATAAGTAACTGGATTCAATGAACACTGAATACTTAAAAAAAGGTTTTAAAGGATGTGGATATGCTTACTTTTCCTGCACTCTGCTGATAAGCTGCTTTGATCTGTTGTCTTTGTGCATTGCTCCTCTTTGCTATCACCTCCACAATAGTGGCTTCATCCACACCTTCATGAGAAGAAGACAGGGCACCTGAGCAGCTGTTTTCACATGAGCATCATTTACAGAGTAATACTGCTGGATCTTGGTATTAATGGGCAATTGCACATGAGTGCACTTGATTCCTTTTAATTAATCACTGGTAAATTAGGTCATTACAGCTGGAAGCATTATAATACAAGTTCCAACAGAGCTATATATTGGGTAAAAGTATATAAGCACTCTTCCTGCTATGACATAATTGGTGAGGTGTGTCTTCCAAACATGCAACAACACAAACAATTCATTTGCAAAACTTCTTGAGTTTCAACAGAGCATATTAAACGTGTTTAACTTTGCATTTTACCTTTGGTCTCAATGGCTTTCTTTAATTTTGCAGCATCATTCTGGGCATTAAAATTAGGATCAGCCTTGACTGTTCCAAAATATCCAGTCTCAAAAGGAGCAGGTCTAAAACCCTGAGATGAAATATATAGCAACATATAAGTACATATAATTAATGGTAGGTTTCTTTTGAGGTGTGCTTGAGTTAGTCATTACATATAGGAGACCTACCTAATGTTTTACCCACATTTGTTTGAATGACCATAATGAAGGTAATGTATTTACTTACCGTGTCATCTTTTTGTTGCTCAAATAATTTCTTTAAAAAAGCCATCTTGAGAGTTTTGAAGACACTATAAAGAACTAAGCACATGAAGAAGTTATTGCAAACATTGTCTGGATTAATATACTGTAGATTGACATATCAATTCCATTAACATCATCAATCACTTCATTATGAATATAGCATCATGAATACTTGTTGGCAATGTTAATTAGGGTAAGCTACAGACTTGCAGTTAAATGCATTTACAAACATAACTCACCTGTTCCTCTGTGAAGTTCGTAAGAGCTGATCTGAAGTGGGTAATTTCAGGAACAGAAACTGTCTTTTTATTCCTTACACACACCCATCGAAAAAAAAATTGGGCTGGGTCAAGATAGACCAGGTTGTTCTGGTTGTACCTGTCTGTAAAGCTTGTGATAATCTATCATTTAATGTGTTTGCTGTGCTCACCCCAAGTTGTAGTCTAGACCTAACACAAAACAAACCTTACATTGAAACTTGCATATGCAATGATATTGTTCACTAGATAATGCATAAGATGCAGATGCTTTAAACTGAAGTTTATTGGTTGTGGAATTTGTCTCTTTGATTATGAGAATAGAAACACAGATAAAGTCACAGTTCTCACATACTGCTAACCGATATGCTCATCGCAATGTAAAATATTGCCAGGATTACATAGTGATTTGTTACAACAACAATAATAATATACAGTTGTAATAAACTGTAATAAGCACTTGGATTTCTACTATGAAAATAGTAGTTGAAGTTGTAGCTAGGAATATTATACTGACAATAACACTTACAGTGTGCACAATGACTGACTTTTTTCCAAATTTAAATGAAACAGTTTTCATAAACCAACTATGTGGGATTAAGTTGTGCTGACATGGGTAGGTAATATAACAATGCAATGAATTTGCAGATGTTTTTCACATAATTCAGACATGTAAGAGATGATTATTGAGTGCCACAGAGAGCCAGCAGAATCTTCTCATAATCTCCACTTGTTTCCTTCTGTAAAACCAGAAAAAGGATTTATGTAGGGGCAAACCTGATTGAATTCATTGGGAAGTGACTGGATCGTGAAAAGTGACAATTTCATTCCATAGTGGATGTGAAGTAAATGGTCTCATTTTTTATTTCATGTTAGCTTCAAGCTAGTTAGTTAGAGCTTTTCAAATTATGGAGACTCACCAGAATAGCCTCCTGAAGGGTTTTGCCATACATCCTCTTAAATTCTTGAATGATTTTCAGCAGGTCAATTTCTGAACGACTCACAATGATTCTAGTCAGTGTATCAGTGTTGGTTCCTAACCCCTAGAAGTCCACATTACAGTTAAATTCATGTGAAATTTTGTAATAAATGAATATTTTAAATATCAAAAACACAACTACATGGGCATACTGAAATATACTCCATGAATTCCTTTGCAACTTTACCTTCATAGCCAGATGGAGGCTTTCTGCAAAGAAGGCAGGTTTGTTCCAAGCAGACTTCACTAAACATAAAAAATAAGAATGTTTTGAGGTTTTGGTGAAAAGCTGTTGCGTGCACACAAACAGAAGATGTGACTTCATACTGCTTGTTTTAGTTATTATTGTATCTTTGTACCTATCTTTGTGTGACAAGGGTTTGTGTGATAAGGCTGACAATACCCACTCTCGACATGCAAAGCTGGAAAAACAAGCTTCCTAAAAGCTTTGCTTTGAATAGTCTTTCTATTGCTGAAGCATTTGACATGTCTAGAATCTCTCGCACACACCCGTATACACACAGATTAAAATGAAGGCGTGTTTCTATACCCAGGGTCATCAGACAGTCTTCAAGGTTTCCATGAAGCTCACTCTCCAGTGCTTTGGCCAAACCCTCCTTGCTGTATTTGCCATAATACTGGAAAACTGCAAAAACATTTTAAATAACATTATTAGTGCCTAAAAACATAAAGTCAACTCTCTCTGAAAAATAATCATATATGTAACATTTGTATTCTGCCATAGATGTTCCACTTACTTTTACACAACTGAGCTTCACTCCTGGATGTGAGGACATTAATTAGGACAGAGCAAACAGTACCAACCCGATTCTCTCCTGCCTCAAACAGAACCTGTACAAAGCAGAGACAGTGAGTGAGTCCACCGAACAAGAAAACCAACAAGATGTCAGTAAAACAGTTTATGAACAATATGTCACATAATGTCACATTTACCACAAGAAAGACTTTCATTGTACATAAACTTGATAGTCAGCTAGAAACATAACTATAGAGAAGAGAATTTTGATAAATATGTACAAATATTTCATTCATTATAACTTACTTAACATTTCGTCTTCATTTGTAATGTATGTTTGAATAAATCTGTCATGAGAATGTACAGGGAAACTTGATATAAAAACGCAGACTTAGAAAATGTTTATATAATAAAATCATGGCATGGTGGCTTCACTTGTTACAATGTCTTGAGCAATCCAGTTCATTATTATTAGTAATTGTAGCCATTGCAGTGTGAATAGTGTCTCCTATGCCTACACTGAGTGTAATTACTCCTGGTCATAGATTTAGTTGGTGCAACAGGTGTAAATATTTATCAGAAAGCTGGACGTAGCTAAGCTGGATGTAGCTAAGCCTAGCATAGGGCTTACATCCAACTATTTTTTACATCACACTCATAACTGTACTGTTTTACTTTGTTTTACATCTAACTGGGGCAACCGGCCCCGGATATTCCCGTCCATCTTCTCTGAACTGGGCATTACAATAACTGGACCTTGCTGTCTTGAGTCTCACCTCAAAAGGCAAATCCATCAATATTTTAATTAGCTAAGTACTGGGGTGCCTCAGGGTTCAGTGCTTGGTCCCCTCTTCTTCTCAATATGCACAACTTCACTGGGCCAAATATAAAGCCACACAGCTTCTCCTATCACTGCTACATGTAGTCCCGGCCTGAAGACCGGGAAGGCTATCTAACCTTCCACTTAGACATCTGCGCCTTCAGCTTAACCTTGCAAAGAGAGAACTCTTCGTCATCTCAACAAGTCTATAAGTTAACCACAACATCAATGTACAGCCGGATTCAACAATGGTAACGGCAGTTAAGTCAGCTAAGAACTATGGATGAAGCACTTGTTCAACCAGATAATCCTCACTATCCACATCACATCCACATCTCAACAACCGCCCAGTCACTCCTCTTCACTTCCATTAACTCTGCTTAAGGCTTAATAAAGGTTAAACTAACTTCAATAGCAATAAAAACAATTCTAGTTTACTATAGAAATTCAGAATTGTAGCACTACTAAAACGGTTGTCTCCATGTGCTATCCAAAGATGCTTCAGATAAAAGTGCCTGTTAAAATAATATATGTAAATACACCAATAATCACCCTTTTTAAAGTGGTTCCACATATATCATAATATATACATTAATTTACTCAATAGGTGTAAAAAACAAAGAGTTCACAGCCCTAAACCACCCAGTTCCAAAATGAATCACAACAAAACATTTGATTAGAAGCAAAAAATATCAGAAAATCTAAAAGACAAAGGTACAAAAACTGTGTATGCAAAGCACAGCTGACGTAAAACAAGAAATGCAATAACTTGCAATTTTATGTTTCAATCAAAGATGGCAGTAGTGCACTTTTAAACAGCTACATTTTGTCTAAATGTAAGTTACTCAATATTAACTTTCATGTATAAATGTTGTATAAAAGCAATATCACACTCATAACTGTACTGTTGTACTTTTTGAGGTTGTTTAATTCAAATAGCACTGACTTACAGCTTCTACAGAAACATACACTATAGTCCATGGAGAAAATGAACGCAATATTCCAGATACCAATCCAAATTCATAACAGGTTACTGAAAATAATCATCACTAATGTGATTAAATGAGCTGATTCGTCTGAGTCTAAATCATACCCAGACGAATCAGCTCATTTAATCACATTAGTTAATGCGAGTTGTTACAGTGTTGGAGTGGAATCTGTCACAGTACCTTTGCGTCACTCTTTGCAAGCCCATCGTCAATATTATAATCTTCACTCCTGGTAGCCTGATGTTATGAGATATATATTCAGTACACATAACAGATTTAGTTTTCTTATGGTGTAACATAAATAGACTAAAGTTAAACAGTGTAATTTCTGTACCTTGCAAAGTGCAAGCAGGGTAGTCTCGAGATCTCCACTAACTTCACCTTTAATTTGTTCCTCCAGCAGCTTTCCATAGACTTTACGACAAAAAGAAGTTAGCAGCTACACACACATTTGCATTCAGGAAGTACATGTATGTATTTGGATCTGTGTTGTTACCGTCTTTAAAAGTAATTTTCATCGCTGTGATCTCCTTGTTTGATCTGGTCCCTAGAATTTCACTTAAGACAGCCTCTTTTGTCCCAAGATCCTGATTAACAATTGAATTTTAGTACAGAAATCTTTAAATAAAACATTGGATGGTTGTGAAAACTGTCACTAACAAGTATAACATAACATAATATACAGTATATATATATATATATATATATATATATATATATATATATATATATATATATACACAC